TCTCGGGTATCACGGCACGGCGGAACGACGGCCGAGTTTGGATTGATTGGGACTACGCTGCATGTCGTATTGATTGTTTCTGCGTGGTGGCAAAGGCATCTCATGACGTCCCGGATCTGCGCTTGCCTTCCTACAGGCGAAGAGTGCAGTGCCACCATTCGGATACATGGCGCTGTCGGAGTGGTACTTTGAGATGCTACGGGACTCCGCCAGGCCAGGGATTGCGAGTGTCCGCAGCGACTTAATCTCTTCTTTGTTCATGTCTTCACACAAAAGCAGGCATGATCTGTATGAACGAGCACTGCAAGTGGAGATTGCGAAGGTCAAGGCGATGCATCTTCCGACAATCCTGTACCAGTCGGCTTGTTAGTTGCCTGCAGGAGAAGGATGCTGACGGTTGCACGGTCTTGGACGTTGGTAGTGGTGATGGCATCCTGGCGCAAGTCTCATCACACCGCAGATAACTGCTGCTGTCTGGGCCTTCGCATCGGTGATGCCTGCAATGGTACACTGAAGCAACGAAGCAGTTCGCAAATGAAGGGCTTAGAATGTTGCGGAGAAGAAGAGAAGAACGAGGAAGGACAGCCAGGAACAGTGATGGCACGGACAGGGCATGAAGCAGACTCAAACTTCGCTGTTCAGGAATTTTGTCAATGATGGCCATCAGAGCTGGGGCGACCGCGGGAACGGGAAACTCGTCCAGACTACCGAAATGGAGGAAGAGCCGTAGGATCCATCGTTGTGCACCTAAGGAGTTGAGTACGTCACGCAGATTGCTCGAGCATCGGAGGAGGGATTTGCTTTGCTGCCCTTTGCACAATGGGGCACACATGCTTGAAGCCGTGAGTCCTGGAGGAGGTCATCTTGGCAAACCGGTCCTGTAATGCATTGGGCGCTGGGCCGCTGGACATCTGGTGCACTGATGTGAGGCACAGGGCACAGAGTGTTAATTCCAAGCCGTTTTGGATTTTGCGAGCAGGCGGGTTCTTCGAAGATGCCTACTCGTAGTATGAAGTGTTGTACCAGGGTGGTGCCTACTCGGAAGTGATCTAACTGACAGAAGCCCATCTTGGAAGGGGTGTTCCAGAACTGCCGGAACAGCGCCGCTTCGATGTCTTGGTCAGCGAGCTAATGGATGCCTCTGGGCTCGGTGAGACGCTTTGACAAAGTAGAGGTGCTGGAGCATGTCTAGTCGGTGTCGGTACATAACTCGCGCCCACCACTTGTGTTTCTGCTTTCTGCTGGTGAGGAACCTGATTCTTCTTACGGAGGTGGGGAACGGCGTGCAGTACAGATGGGAGGCTGTGAAAGTGGGAGCGCTGTCGGGCTGCCAGGGCTCGAAGCGGCGCCTTTGCAAGCAGAACGCCCCGGTCATACCAGCCCGCCTCCGGCTGAGAGCGGTGCTCTGTGAGGCGCATGCATGCTTGCGGAATCGGTTTTCATTGCGTCTTGCATCCTTTCATCCGGAGGTGAAGCTGCCGTCTATCGACGGTATCAACATCGATGCTTTCTGGCCCTTCTGGCCCACAGATCGGGCATTTGGCAGTGCGCTCTGGCTTGGCGTCGACCTGGACAAGCAAGAAGGAACCTCGTCTCGGAAGTGCAGGCTTCTTGTATCCTATCCGGCACCGAGAAGCATCAAGGGAACAACGAACTGCCTGCAGGAGACTTCAAGGTGCTCACAGAGCCGGTAGAGCTCTTCGAAGTGGAGCTGGGGAAGGTGGCAGTGTGGTGAGCGCTCTTTCTTTACAAGCAGCAAATCAAGTCTTGTGCTGTATCGATGGCATTTTGCGCAGAGGCTGATGTGAATGATATTCCAGCACGGGCACAGTATAGCTTCCCTGGGATTACCGCTGGCACTTGCAACATGGTCGTATGGCGGGGGGCTGAGATCTGGGCGGTCTAGGCCGTTTTGGAGATTGCATGACGGCCCGGCGATGACCGCGCACCTGAAAGCAGCAGAGGTGGTTCGAAGCGCAATTGAGCCAGACCGAGACTTGGCTCTTGGCTTCCGCTTGTCGAACAGGTGATAAGCTGCGGGTCACACGTGGCCAATGTCGCTGCTGGCTTGAGGAAATGCGGGGTCTAGGCGACCTAGGAACTGCCTGCACATTTTGAGGATCCCTCGGTGGTGCTGACGAATGCACCGACGCAGCTGGATGGCCGACATGCAGCAACATGTTGGGGGCAGGCAGTGCCCAAGGGCTGCGAGAACCACATGCCCTCGTTTCAAACCGGCCGACTTCCCTCAGGCAGCGGCTGAGCTGGTGGGAACGGCGCAGGCAGGGCTGGACGGCTCACGACAGACAGTTCACAGTCTGACTCCGGCTAGGCCCGGCCCGGGGAAGATACGAGCATAACCATGGAGATGGTCTTTGGCGCTGCCCTGAGACGGGTTGCCTGGCTGGCGCCTTGATCTCTCAGACTCTGAGGCGACTACCAACTTCGCTTCAGAAGTGCCGAAAGTGGGGAATCCTCAGGCAGAGCCAGGGAAGGTGTAGTTTTGCATCCCCCTTATGGAATCTTATGGAAACGGGAACGTCAGCATGAGTCACAGTCAAAGCAGGTATGCTTCGTGATGCACCACCTCCTGGGGCGCCACCCTATTCGCCTGACTTCAAGGAGATGATGCAGGCCTTGGACTGGCGCCTGGCGCACGCGCCGCCCGCCGTCCGCGCCTTCTGCCCGCGTAAGCGCGATCCTCCCCTGAAAGGCCTGGCGCGAGAAGCAGCGGGAGCTTGCCGTCTCGGGACGCCAGGTCGGTCGGACTGCAATCCGAGACGCAGATGTCGAGGCCGACAGCCACCACTGCCGCAGATCTCGAGATCAGACTAAGAACAAAGAATCGCGGAGCAGCGGTGTGGTGATGGTAAGCTGCAACAGTGCAATGATTGTGACAAGCAGTAGGAAGAAAGACCACAGCAACGGCGGCTACGCCGGCTAGAAAACAAAGCCGCAGCTCAGTCCACGAAACTATGAAACCCCAAGGCAGACCATGTGACACTGTGGAAGCCTAAACCCGCAAACCTTCAAGCCTCAAACCCGAACCTAAAACGGTTCTGTCGCCCAAGCACTCGAGAATCCTCATGTCAGAGTTGGGCCGTTGGACAGGCCGTAGCAGCGCTTCAGAAGACAGCTTTGGCTGTCGCGCTACATCCTCAAGGCCCAACTACTCTTGTTGCTGATGGAAATTCTTGATTCCAAGCGCATGTTGCGTTCTGTTTGCTGGCAAGCCTCAGTTGTGATCCACGCATGTTCTAGGCAAGCATGAGCAGGCACCTGCTTCGATCATGGAGAGCCAAAGCCTTCCAGCCTTTTGCCCCGACGGGCATTGCGTTGATGTAGCAGACAAGGCCCCAAAGCCACGTGGCGTTAGAATCTGATGCAGACTCCCTAATCCCCTGCATAAGAGACAGTAACCCTACGCAAACCGTTGTAGAATCTCTCCAGCAAGCTTCCAGTTAATTACACAAACCCTGGACAAAAGATTCTGCATCAAGAATCAACAACTTCCCTACGCCTACGCCCTGCATAAGCCCCACAAGAATCCTTGCCTTCCCCGCACCACACTTGGAGCGGAGGATTCGGCGTGGAGCCAGCCTCTGCAGCCAAGATGCTGTCGGGCTGGTATGCTGTGCCTGGAATGTCAGTCGAGGGTTTCGGGTGTGGCATATAATACGGGGAGGATGTACAGGGCGCAGGGAATGAGTTCAGGGTTTGGGGTAGACTACAGGGCAAAGCAGATCGGGCTTCGGACTTGGGGGTGCAATATCATGCAGGATACACGAAAAGGGTGTGGGGCCTTCTTGTTGGGTTGATACTGCTGGCAAGTTCGGCAAGGACCAGAGCATGACACGATGCTGAGAACGATGGCAGCGTAAACGAATCCAGAAGCAAGGTCATCGGAACATGCAACGTAAACTACAGCATGGCATAGATTTCTTGGGCAGTCTCTATTCTGTCAACATACAGCATTCCACGTTGCTCGCTACAGTGTCAGTATGGCGAAAGTACAGTATACAGCAGGGGGCAGAAGAAAACTAAGCACAGCGGGATGAAGTCACTACGATGGGATGTTCATGAACAGTTCATGAAGCTGCGGTGCTGCAATTCACGACAGCCGTCTGCAAGAGCCCCTGTGTGGCGTAATAGCGTAGCACAATCACATGCGCCAAGTATTGTAAAATACCGCAGTGCGCCACAATGTAAACGTGCCATACTGGATGATTCGTGTCACCGGTGTGTTTTGCAAAGAAAGAGACAATGGTGATGCAATTGCGCGGGTATGTAAAATGATGAACGGATGGGACGCTAGGGCGCCGCTTCGTTCCATCATTTTGAGAAGTCAGGAAACATGTGCTTCAGCGTAAGGCATTAGGCGAGACATTCAGCGGGGTTCGTCGCAATCCCAGGTTGGAGGAGAAGGGCGCACCTGAGATCCTTCTTGAGATCCTTCATTGCCGGTGATGTCGGGTCGTCCTCGTCGGGATCTTGAGACGACGGTCTGTTTCTCGCGGCTGCACAGACTCGTTGCCGAGCAGACCAAGATGTGGAACCTAGGAGACCCGGCTGTGCAGAAGACAGTGGCAGGCAGCGTGGAAGAACGCGGGGTCTCCCTCGTGATCGACTACGACCACGCGTCCCAGAAGTCGAGCAGACAAGTGACAAGTGTGATGCCTTCGGTGGGCTTCGTCGGGCAGTGACGATCGATCTTTGCGCTTCGCGTCAGAGATGCTGCTGGCCACTCGCGAGCTGGCTCGGAAAAGATCATGGCCTTATCAGTGTGAGGAGTTCAGTCTTGTCAATCTTGGCAGTGGATTGTCGCCAGTTTGCATGCCGGGCTTACAGGAGCTGGAGGCCGCCACCGTTGCGCTATTGCCACTGCTGCAGCTATGCAGAGCAGCTGCAGTCAGACAGCAATCTTGAATTTCATGCTCGCCGCGGATCTCGATGTCTTACGCTCAGGCAGCAAATGGCCTGGGCCATTGCCGTAGCCTTTCATGAAGAAGATCTACAAGGCAGGTCAATCATGCGACTGGCGGGAGCGGTTCAGCTCACCCTTCGCGTAGCCTGTTCAGGCGGCTGTGCTATTTCTCAGCGTCAGCGGCCGAGCTTGCGGAGCGAATGCATGAAGATCGCAAAGCATAAGAGATCTGACTTGGGCATGTGCTGCGATGCTGGGCTCGGCAAAGCACCAAGTCCATAGCAGGATGCGAAGTTGAATCTTTTGATGAGGACCGATGTGGTGTTTCACACGTTTCTGCATACTAGCATACTACAATGCTACAAGGGCCACCCTTGCTTCAGCAGCCTCATCATGAAGCAAGGCATGTGCGAACAATTGAGTATGCTGCAGACCATCGACGAGCCTTAGACTCCATGGCGTCCGCTGGCATAGCTGGATGACTGCTGGTTCCGTGCAGGAGCAGGAGCGATCGTCAATTCGCGTGCCGCTTCTTGAGCCGAACGCAACTCTGCTCATTTAAGAACCAGGTGCTGAGCCTGGATGCCTTCGCATGGTGCGAAGAAGCGAGAACCCCCAAATCAAAGAAGCGCCAAGCCGTCTCAGAGGATGGCAGTGATGGCACTTGCACAGCGCCGCGACCTTCTTGCAGCACTTCATGGTACAAGTAGTGTTCGGGGCATGCATGTGGCAGGAGCCATCAGAGAGGACAAAGGCAAAAGCTGCACCAAGGAAAGCAAAAGCAAGCCACACAGGCGAAGGCAGCGACTGTGCGCGTGCTTGCTGGGCATTGGTGTGTCTCTTTGCGGTCACTTGCCAGGGGCCCTCAAGCCGAAGTATCGCCAAGCTAAGGCAGCGCGCATGGAATTGTCTTACCCCTACGCCGAATAATGTAGAAAGCAGGGGCCTGTAGTTCAATCCGGCTCAATTCATTTTGGGTCGGCATGCTGAAATTCCTCTCCGAGGCCCTTCCATTCTACATTAAATGCTTTCGGAACCCCATCGATTCTACATTTTTGTGGGTTGGGGTATGTTTGGGTACACCGTCGTCATGCCGATGGAGTCCCTGGCAGACACACCGTCCCGCAGATGCGTTTCAGTCGAGTCTAGTGAGCGTCTAGTGGCTGTCGGAGCCCCCCAAACCCCGCTGATGCTCATTATGCTGGGTCGTAGCGTCCCACAGGGCTGCGGACAGAATCCTAGTTTCAGTGCCAGCACTTTCCGGGACATGTAACCTGAAGGCACGGCCTGGCTCACGCATGCAATGCAGGTACTATACAAGGTGTAGAATGGACCCACCCCCTCCATTCTACTTTTTACACCCGTGTAGAATACACCCAGAAACCCTGCCTTTATTTGCAGGGTCGTGGGCTGTCTTGTGTCCAGGTGTCAACCCAACGACTCGAGACATGGAGGGGGCGACGAAATTGTACCCAAACAACTTCCTTGTAAAGGTAGCGATTCAACACATTCAACAGGCACGACCTTGTACCCCAACCTTCTGCACTGGGTCAAATAACTAGCCTGACAGTAGCCTGACAGTAGCCAGACTTCCCAGGATGCAGCGTCCCTGCTCGGGTATCTGAGGCTTGTAGAATGGACCCAAGATGACGTTCTGTGTGTGCATGAGTGAAACTGTGAGCACATGTGCTCCCCACACCATCCACCTCGAAGCTGCACATAGAAACACTCGGAAGCCTAGGCCCACACACCGTCATACTTGCATAACCCCGCAACTATGAATGCCCTGTAGCATGCTCGTCCGTAAAAGCACAAGCCATCGATTCTACATTTCCGATCCCGTCGGCATCAATTTCCATCCGGATTACTACTCATGCCTGGCCCCGCATCCATTCTACATTTAAAAGCCACCCGAAAATGTAGATATCAGGGGCCCCTTTGCGAGTTGGGTTAGGCCTATGGGTATTGTCTTCGCGCTTTGAAATCAGTCTTCTTGGCAGAGCGGACAGGAGGAGGACGCTGTCGTTGAGGTGCTTTGCTTCAGCTGCCGCCGGGCGAGCGACGCCTCGGTCCAGCTAAGCGTCACCAGCTTCTTCAAGAAGGCTGGGCTCAGTATCAGTGTAGCAGGGAACATATATGATGAGCAGAGAGTGTATGCTGATGCCGCGCAGAGGGAGCGGCTCAGTGGGATTGAGTGGGGCTGAAAGACAAAAATGGTGCGCCGAAGGGCCGAAGTGGGGTTCGACGATCTTCTGTTCGGCGTCGCGAGATCTTGTTGCCATGAAAAAGGCGGCTGATGCAGTGTCGGCACCACCACCACCACCACCAGAGGCGCCTCGGGCCATGAACTGAATGTATTTGAATTCCGGCCCTTCCCGTGACAGTCTCGGCAGCTCTTTGGGCAGAGGTGATCGACCTTGATGCGCCGCTATCTGTGGATCCTTCTGTCTGCTCGCGCTGCCGCAAACCATTGCGCCACAAGCGCCTCGGCAGAATGTTGCAATGAGCCTGCAACAATCCGTATAGCAGTGGTCGTGCTTGGACAGGCTCCCCACATACAAAAAGTCGGCGGATGCTATGAAGGGCGTTGGCGAGCTTCCGCAACTTCAACGACTCCGTGCGTATCGGCGAACAGCCGAAAAGCTCGGAACACAGATTGTTGTGACCTGTTGTGGCATAAGCCTCAGTTTCTGCATTATTCAAAACTGTTTTGTCCGAGGCAGGGGGTGCCGTTCCTGATCTCGGAGAAAAGTGCATGCGCCCTGATGCGAGGCACTGCACGGCCTAAATTCCGGCTGGCGGTACGTTGCGATTACTCTTCCAAGCCTTCAGCAAAGGCATTGAATTGACGTGAGTTTGTATTTTGAATTCCTGGAGGCGCGTGCTTCGGATGCGGGGCTCCGGCGCCGCAGCGCGGCCATGGCCTGACGCGGCTGCGCTTCTGGCCGGCAGGAGCGCTCGAGATCTTTAGAGTGGCGGGCCGTGTCGGGCCGTCGGGCTTCCAGGCTTAGGGTTGCGAGTTTCACGTTGACATCGACTCGGCACCAAAATACCGCAGAAGGCCATGCAGAGTCAGGCGAAGCAGCAGCAGCAACAACATCAGCAGTCGTCGTCGTAGTCGCAGCAGGTGGCAGTAGCAGTGCAGTAGTAGCAGTAGTAGCAGTAGTCGAAGTAGTAATAGTAGTAGCAGCAGTAGCAGCAGCAGCAGCAGGAGTAGTAGTAGTAGTAGTAGTAGTAGTAGTAGTAGTAGTAGTAGGAGTAGTAGGAGTAGTAGGAGTAGTAGGAGTAGTAGGAGTAGTAGGAGTAGTAGGAGTAGTAGGAGGAGTAGGAGGAGTAGGAGGAGTAGGAGGAGTAGGAGGAGTAGGAGGAGTAGGAGTAGTAGGAGTAGTAGGAGTAGTAGGAGTAGTAGGAGGAGTAGGAGTAGTAGGAGTAGTAGGAGTAGTAGGAGTAGTAGGAGTCGTAGGAGTAGTAGGAGTCGTAGGAGTAGTAGGAGTAGTAGGAGTAGTAGGAGTAGTAGGAGTAGCCCTGGCACCAGTGAGCTCCAACTTTGATCACCGGTGCCAATGGCAACCTATGCAGTGCAATGCGGAGGCCATGCCTGCATTTCTACTTCGTTTCTTCCGGAACGGACTGACGGCCTTTCTGCTGATTGCCGCCGCTGTCAGAGCAAAACATGCCTCGCCTTCTGCCAGTCGCAGAACTGTGCCTCTGCTACTAGTGCTGCATAATCACTATCCTCGCTCAGGTACACACAACAATCTGCAGCTTGATGCCTGGCAGCCTACAAACTTGCTTCGGCTGACCACTGCCAGTTAGCTGGAAGCCTGTAGGCCGCCAACACCCAAAGGTCTTCGACCTGGGCTGTTCAGCTATAGGGTCTGAGTCAGTTTCACACCATGTGAGTGCACCGCGGCAATCGCCCGCTATGTGCTGAGCCCGCTCGCACAGCGTTCAATTGAAATAGTAGGAGTAGTAGGAGTAGTAGTGGTAGGAGTAGGAGTGGGAGTGGGAGTGGGAGTGGGAGCAGGAGTAGGAGTAGGAGTAGGAGTAATAGTAGTAAAGTAGCAGCAGCAGCGACGCACCCTGTACCCTGGGTATTATTGTGCCAAAATCCTGACAGTGTACAGTTCACCGCCCGCCAACGTGAGCGATGTTCCCGACGCAGTTCGGGTCATAGCATTACTGTGATGCTACTTACCTTGTACTTAGCATCGTCGCGCAGGAGTTGCGAAGCCAGACCGTGGAGGCTTCATGGGCCCATATGCCGAGGCAACCGAAGCTGTGCAAGGATTCGCATCACAACGTCAAGCAGCCACTGACGACGTGAATCCCTAGACCGAATGGCCAGCGTTCGCAGTTGCACCACTGTCTGCATTTTGCCATATTTTTTGAAGCTTGGCTGCGGCGGACATTCGTCTTGGCAAAATCTCATAAACATAAACACCATCCATGGCAGAACAATGGGCAAGCTCCTACTGTGCAAGTTGCACTATGTCGCATTTCTTGGGGGGAACTCTAGCAAAAGAGAGGATCCTTTCAGCGCCTTCGCGTTGGTTCCCAAATGCTGGGCAATGTTTCGCAAAGCTCCCGCTTGACGTCGTCTTGCAGGCCAACGTCGCGCCAGCGTGCACGATGTGCAACATGATGAAAGGCTGCCGCCTGAGCAGATGCAGCATGATGCTTGTGTGCGCGTCTTGGCTGTCGAAGCTCAGGCCATCGAAGGATCTCGGGATTCGTCGAATGTTGCCGGCACATTGCTACCAAGCACACAGAAGGACTCCAGAAAGATCGCAGCACTTTCAGTGCTGGCTTGTGATGGCGGTGAAACTCACGTTCCGTGGCCAGGAGAGAATTTCGGCGAGTACCCCCATAGATTCCGCGACAATGTGTCAAGAAGATCGCGCTCCTGCTACATTTCTCAGTCTAGTACTCACACGCGCCTTGGCTGTGCATCAGAGTTTAACAGTTCCTTGAGCCCTCAAGCTTTCCGATTTTTTCCGATGCTGCTCTCGTGTTCGCATTGCTGTGTGTAGTGCCGAGGAAGACGCATTCCCTGACAAACGAGCAGTTCAATGCCATCGTCTCCGGGCCGTGCTTCTACTGCGGCAAGGCCGTTGCACCGAAGTGGCCCTTGGTTAGGACTTAGTCCCAAACCTTGAGGAGCCGCGGAAGCCAAAGACCAACGGCCCGCACGATCGTGGGCATTTCAATGGGCTAGATAGGCTGGATTCAGAGAATCGTGTCTACGCCAAAGAGACCACGGTCGCTTGGACAGAAGAGATCAGGTTCACCGATTTGAGTGGGGCACTGGGTGTATGGTAGTTTCCACCGCTCGAAAAGCCGACTTGGGTACAACTCATGCGACATGCTGCGCATGTGCTCGCTATGTGCAAGGTGGCATGCTGTGGAGATTGCAACATCATGAAGTGCCTTGGCCATAATATTTCTGGTTGCGTTCGTGGCCGGTGACCACCTCTTTAGCCTCTGGTCGAATTTGTCCTGAGGTACCGATGGGGACTTCAGGAATTTCTGGAGCACTGCCGCTTAGTGGCCCGTTTCCATCGAAACGAGGAGTGTCGTAGAATGCACGTGGATGGGGCATGATGGAGCACCCTGCCGTGCTTGCAAGGTTGGCTTGAGTCAGCACTGAAGATTGGGTGATTGGGTGGCTTCACTGCCGCAGGAGTTTGCAGATGAGGCTGCATTGGAGGAGGCGGAACGTCGCGAGTTTGACGAGGTGGCACCGTGTGCAACAGAGTTGAGTTTGTGACGGCTGCTAGAATGGCCGCTGATGCGCTCACTGCAGGAAGTTGCGATCGAATCGGGTGAGGCCGAGGAGGATGTTGCAGAGACTGAAGACGATGACTGCGACAGCGATCAACAAAAGATCCACCTGAGCTCGACAGCTGAAGTTAAAGCCAGGCATGGTGCTGAAACAGACCAGTCATGTCGCAGCAATCTTCACACAAGCGGTTTGCTTGTTCAGAACCGTACTGGAGCAGCAGCGGACCCGTATCACCATAAACCACTAAATTTGCCGTGGTCAAAGCGGATGACCTTCCGCGCAAGTTGCTGCCCAGGTCCGTGTTGCTGTCGGGTCCCAGCTGCTCTGCCAGGCTTCGCAACCGCATTGAGTCATAATCAGAATAGCTCAAGGATCTCATGTTGATGCTTCTCAAATGGTTGTTATTAATGGGGCGGCAGGATTACTTGCAGCAAAAGCGGTATTGGAAAAGGCGGTATTTACCAAAGCTGAGAACATGAATAACCAAAAGGGTAGCAACGCCCGGCATCTTCTTCACCTGCCACAACTCTGCCGCGGCACAGTACCACCACGACTACTGTTTGCTTTTTACTACCATTCCCTACTATTCTGCATTCCTGTTATCTACTATGCTTCACTCCTGCTAATATTTCCTTCTGTTTCAAACCACTGTTTATGTACTTGCTACCACCTACTACGATTGTCTAGGTCTTGTCTTGTCGCTAGTCGCTGCTGCTAACCACGACTTACTACGACCTCCTCCTCCTCCTCCTCCTCCTGCTGCTTCGACGACGACGACGGTCACGTCACATCCACTGCCGCTGCCACTGGAAGTGCAGCCAGGTCTGGTGGTGCTGCAATGAGGTATAGCAGTGACAAGCGCACTGACTACGGTCCTGGTAAGGACGCACCCAACAAGACAACCGTCGTAGGGTCACTTTTGACCGAGAAGGGTGATCATGTGCATAGTATATTGTCGTGAATATGGCAGGATAACCACGTGTAAGCAGTGTTGGCTTCCTCCCAGAGACTTGGACCGCCCCGCTTGGTTTTGAGGGTGGCAAGGTTTCTCCTGATCCGATTGAGGTCTTGCATACATGGTAGCAACCGCACTGTAAACTCCGTAGGCACTGCCGTGTGGACGGCTTGTCTGACAACGCTGCCTTGGCAGGACAGGATCCGGATTCCTCGCATCATCCACCAGCTGTGGATGTCACCTCACCAGCCAGGCCTCCCCTGATACTTGTAGCCGTCGTACGTCGTAGTCATTCATGTCGGCGCAATGTGCAGTTCGCCTCGAGTCTTGAAGAGGTTTGACGTTCCAGGACCGCGAGCCCGAGCGCCCCAATCTCAGAGACCTGATGGCCTTTGGTCCACAGCACATGTGATGGATAAGCGTTTGTTGTGTCCCCACTTCTGCTGGTTTCGAGCGGTGCCGAGTTGAGGTCCTGACATTGTAGACGCCATTCGACAGTGGCGTTTTGCAGCGCACAGGGCTTGTGATCGAGTGCATGTAGTGAGTGTCTGTTTGCCCACGTCCAGATGCTCAGATGCTCGTTGTCATGATTGTCACACCGCTCCCACGGTGTCATCATACAGCAATTTCACTTACGAGCTCTTGTATGTCAAGGCTGCGCGACTCGCCGGAGCCTTGGCAACACCAGGCAGGGGCCTCTCTCCGTGAAGCAGAGCCCGAAGGCTTATCTTCGCTACACTCTGCAAGGTCTGGAACCGCTCCTCGGTGAGGTCCGTCCTTGACCCGTACCCTCATTTGGCAGACGGGTTTGAGCGCCTGGCAAGGCAGCTCGGCTGTTCACTGACTGGATGTTTCGTTCTACAACAGTAATGCAGCCAGTTGGAGCACGGAGATGCATCGAAACAAACGCAGCCACGCATGTTTTGGAGAATGCTAAGAAGCTAGAGGCCATCACGGAAGGGCGTTCGTATGTGTTTGGAAGTCTCGCGAGGTGGCCTGAGCGGCAAAAGGACTTCTTCATGTATGCCGCAAGCCCCTGCCAAAAGAGATTTCTTGTCAACACGAGTTGTCTTGTGCGAACGCTGCTGTCCCCTCTTGCGCAGAGAGTCTTCGGCAATAATTACTTGGCAAGTCTTCGAAAGGTACTGGGCATTGTTGGAGGCGTGTTCATCGATGCCGATGTTGTGCCGCATGATGCTCAGTTTCTGCATCACATCAGCTGGATGGGGGAATCTGACGGATGCCCTGGATTTGAACAGAGCTTCAGGCTGCAGTTGCCATCCGCTTGGTTCGAGGAAGCGTGCAGGACCTGAGGGTTCGCCGTTCACCAAGACATTCAGTGCAGGGTAGGTGCAGACAGCATGTTTCGATTTCACCAATGGTTTCTGACCGGAAATTCGGGCAGTCATGCCCGGCAGGGCAGATGTGGCAGAATCTGCGCAGATTCAATTGATGGCCCGCACCTCAAAGCCAGGGCCACGCTCGTTCAGGGCAGCTCGTACTAAAATTCTAATCTCTAAATAGACTTTCAAGCCCATCTAAAGCCCGTAAACCCCAAACCCAAACCCCTAAGCCCCCAAATCCTAAACCTGTATCCCTGTTTGTTTGGGAGCGTGTGAGGTGGGCCTTGAATGCCGCGGCTCGGCCACGGAAGCCGAGGCATGGCGCCGGTGCCCCAGAGACAGCGTGCCTGTCGAGTTGGTGCAGCGAGTTTGTGGGAAGACCAATATCAGTAGCTGTAGACTTGGTCTTGCAGGCGCAACCAGTCAACATTTACATGTATGTATGCTGTGTATGGTATGTATGCAGGCCAGGCAGGAATGGATGGATGGATGGATGGACGGATGGATTGATGGATGGATATGTGGATATGTGGATAGATGGATACGTGGGTCCATGGATGCATGGATATCTGCATTTCGATATATGGATATATATATATATATATGTATATGTATATATATATATATATGTATATATATATATATATATATATATATATATGGTCACGCGCTCCGCGGCCCCTCCCCCTCCCCCCTCCATGGTCTATGGTCCAGGATGCCCCCTCCTGTGGGATGGAGTGTGGGTTCCCTCTTCTCCCTGTGGGGTCGATGTGGGGGTTTTGGGGTTTTGGGTCTAGCTTAAGCTTGTGAGTTTTGGGTTTAGGGTTTTGGGTTAAAAGGTATAAGGCTTCGAGTCGACAAGGGCTTAGGGAGGGTTTGGGGTGTAGGTTCGCTAGGGTTGATAGTTTATGTCCTGGTTTATGCTTAGAGCCTGCATTTAGGCGGGGTTTAGGGTTGGTTGTAGGGTTTGAAGTTTAAGTTTAAGGTAATGAAAGCAGGAGCAGGCGCTACTGCGCTACGTTATAGGATTTATGGCTTGCGTAGGGCTTGCGTACGATGCTGGCTGTCTGTGAGGCCTGGCCGTCCCTCCAGCTGCAGCTCCAACAGCCTCCAACCCTCTCCGCAAACGCCAGCCCCCCCCCCCACCCCGTCGCAGACCATTGGGGGGGTCTGGGAAGGCCAGACGCCTGACCATATATGGTCATGCGCTCCGCGGCCCCCTCCCCCCCTTCCATGATCTATGGTCCGGTTTTGGGGTGAGACATGGGGTCCCTTCCACCTGCGGGGTTGCGTGGGTTTTTGGGTTTTGGGTTTACCTTAAGCTTTTGAGTTTTGGGTGTAGGGTGTGTCGACAAGGGCTTGGGGAGGGTTTGGGGTGTAGGTTCGTTAGCCTTGATGGTTTCTGTTCTGGTTTAGGCTTAGAGTCTTAGAGCCTGCATTTGGGCGGGGTTTAGTGTTGAGTGTAGGGTTTAACGGTTTAAAGTACAGATGAAGGCTAATAAAAACAGGAGCACGCGCTACTGCGCTAGGCTATAGGGTTCATGGCTTGCGTAGGGCTTGCGTACGATGCTGGCCTCGTCGGTAACCCCTGGCCGCCCCTTTAGCTGGAGGCTCCAACGGCCCCAACCCCTCTCCACACACGCTAGCCCCACCCAACCCCCCCGGCCTACCAGACTATACCTTTGGGGGGCGGGTGGGGGGGCTGGGAACGCCAGACGCCTGTTCATATATGCATGTACAGTTACATCCATACGACATACGTATGTACATGCATGCATAGACATACTTACTTACCTACTTAACTGCATAACTAGTTCCCTACTTGTGCTTCCGTACTTGTTTCGGTTCCTTGCCTACCTACCTACGTACCTACGTACTTAATTCCTTACTCAACGTAGGTGCATGCCATCTCTGTGCGACCACTGAGGCTGGTCGGGTCGGCTGCAACTTACAGCCTGGGCTCTGGCCGCAGCACCAGGCGAGCAGAAGCACCCCAAAGTAAGAAGTCAGGACGCGACTGATCTGCAGGCCATCCGGTCATGCTTCGTGCCCTCACCCGGTACCTAGAGACGTCAGGCTCTCAGTATTCTCAGTGCAAAGCTGATTAAGTCATTAAAGGACTGCTGGGAGTTTCTCTTTCTGGGGAGGCCTGGGCCTGCGATTGGCCTCCCGGCATTGGCGCACTACCAGCGCGCGGCAAAGAGAGCTCTGAAAAGTATAAGTAGCCCTTTAGCGAACTGGTGCTCAGGCATAGCGTGGCGATGGGGCCCGGGCTTCTCACACTCCTTGTGGACGAGTGGTGCCTCGGGCTCGAACTTACTCAGAGCTGCCCTGCTTCCGAAGGGGTTGAATAGAATTGCGCTACAAGGTAGGTCGTGACTGCTGGAAGGATCCAGGAGACTTCGCCCAATGGTGAGGGACTGAAGGCTCGTCTGTTCAACAGCGCATGGAGCGCTTGTAAACTAGTACGCACACGCGCCGGCAGCTGATGGAGGCAATGGCCAGCGTGCTCGACTTTTCTGTGGCGTCCGTCTCCTCCGACACGGTTGTGCCGGGACCCGAGCAGACACAATAATTTAAGGTTCATCTTGGATGATTCTGACTGAATCGCAAACCCATCTTCTAAATGGAAGGAACCAGAACAGTGCCTACTACGGTTTTTATGCTGTAAGGCAGGGTCTACAAGACTGCTGGCTCATGAGCCAGGAGATAGAATCTGCGCACCCTTGTTCTGAACGTCCTCTGTGGCAAGTGCAACAGTCCCACTTGATTGTGTTATCTGTAGACTGAGTGAAGGCAAGCGCAGAACAAGGCCCTTTGACATTAGCCTTCTGAAAGCAGTTTGGCTCTTTGTCTCTAGGGTGGCGATTGCCCCGAGAACAGTCTACAGCTAAGAGAGCACAACTTCAGATCAAAAACACCTGCGACTGCGCCCGCAGGCTGAACATCCATGGCTTTGGATGTGGACAGCCCCACAGTGGAAGCCGAACTCCCGACATGTCTTGACGAGCCCATAGATCTAAGCTATAATTTACATGCATTCCGACATCTGGTGCCATACATGCAGCGTTGTGCTGCGGCGTGTTATGGTCCTTGACAGGCCCGTGTAACGAAAGCGAGGGCGCCCTCGTCCAGCACCTTTTCATGGGTGCCTGGAAGCCTCCGGAGGCACTCCTCTCTTGCCTTGTCACTTCTGGACTCTCTCGCTGAGACGACGATTTTCGATGCATGCTTCATGGTATTGGGTTTGTCGAAAAACAATGCATGTTACAGGGGTCGTGGGCTTTGGACGAAGATGAATCCAGACGCCGCCGCCGACGCTTCGTGCGCCTCCTACGCTCGTTAGTTTTGTGCATGCACGTGACAGGTGTCGTAATATTTATCTGTGAATACACCTAGGTGCGACAGCACGGTGATAGCTGCATCATACCGCCTCCCCGTGCTCTTACCAACTACTGCGAGATAAGGATGGACCCACCGAGTTCATCGATTGGCGCGGTCCAGCGTCATCAACTTACTTCAGTGTTTTCCATGTGGTTGTGGACGGTCTATGGAATTGGAGTACGGGCTGTCTGACTCTGCCTGCGCCAGACTTTTGTTGAGGGCTGAGTTCTTCTTTTCCGCAGTCTGTCGAGCACACTGCGCCATGTCGCACTACTGGGTGCCTGCGTACTCATTCCTCGTGCTGGTACTGGGGCATATGTTCACCAAGTCTTCCCGCAAAGATACCGCGGTACATCCGTGCACGTTGGTAAAGTTTCCAGCTTGACATAGGCTGGGAGCACGATCGCAAGACCGCCAATGCTGGCATTATTGGCAGGCGTTCTGGCTCGCCAGTGTTTGTAACTTTGTCTATGCCGAGTCCCCCAAATGGTTGCAGGAGCATCCGCAGCACAGACATGTCAGGACAGCCGACCGTCAACACGGCTGACAGAGCTTGTGTTGCAAAGCACGTTAGCACCATGCGGGCGTTGCGTGCTGCCTGGATCAGAGGTGGCACCTCGAAGGGTTGCTTGGCTCTTCCACGTTCCACAGTGTCCAAAGAGTTCATCAGGCAATGAGCACATCTCAGGCCTCTTCTTTCGCGAGGCTGACCTTCCACCCCCTGGTGACGCAAGAGACCAGCTGATCCTCGCAGCACTAGGCAGCCCTGAGACTTTGAATGCAGTTGGACCTCACGGAAGTGACGAATGTCCGAGCTTTGAAAGGGTAGATCCTAGATCTATTCGTGAGGATCCTTCCGGTCTCCAGCTTAATGGCCTTGGCGGTGGCATTTCGTCAACTAGCAAGGCCCGTCCACGTTTCAGCGTGTGGAGCCTCGCGAAGGAGTCTACAAGAACGTGCTTGAAGTTCAGATGGATAGGAAAGTGTCATATCATGGAAGTCGAATTACATGCAGCAACAAACCACAGTCTGACGCTTCCTGTGCCCTGAGGTGGCGATCCTGTCTGCATCACAACGCAGCCGGACCTGTACATAGATGATCATAGATGTTTCCATGATAGTGTCTCATGACGGGAGGGTATCCGAAGGTGATGGCTACGATGTGAACTATCTCATCGGCCAGGTCGACATCAAGGAGCTTCCGCTGCGAGCACTCAGTGCGATGCATCCTAAGAAGAAACTTGGACGCGGCAGAGCAACCAACAATCATCTCAGATGTAGTCGAAAGGTTGGAGAAGTCGTTCGAGCAGCGAGCAAGCACTGTCAGAGCTTTAAACGCTGAAGTTGCAGTGTTTTTGTAATGCAGGAGCGCTTGATTAATTGGGAGGCTGGGAGCTCGGATGAGACTGGCCGAGCTGGTCTGTCTTTCTTGTTCTTTTGAGCAGAGCCCACCCTGCTTGCGGAGCAATGTTGCCCTCAGGGCAGTTGTGGCAATCTCTCCGCTGGAGTTGGTCTTTTCGCTCTGGCCGAGCATCTTGTGAAGCCAACCTTCGATGGAAGCCTCGCTCCACACATATTAAGCAGAGAAATTCGACGGCGCTCGTCAGGTGGCTTAGGCATACTTCCACTTGCAGGGATTGTTGCTTCCTTAGTTTTGGAAGGCCTCACACGACCTCTCCTCCTTCCATCGGGGCACCATTCAAGCGGGGCTGGTTCCCATAGCAGTGGTTGGAGAGTGTAGGGTTCAACAACGACAGTGTCGAAGACGGGAGCGGTGGGCGGGAGAGAGTACGATGGAGCGGTCTTTACTTTGAGGGACGCAGGCAAGCTTTTGCAGCCCATGCGCCGTGCTGCTCTGTCGAGTGAGTTGGACTGGCAGTTGGCAGCCGAGGACCTTCGCAGGTGGTGCGTGTGTGGCAGCAAAATCAAGGGTACGGGATGAACGTGCACGTGCCAAAGGGAGTGGATGCCCCCATCGCGGAGGCACTTCTAGATTCTAGATGTTTCCCCACAGCCGCTGGCCGCTGCCCCATGCGAGGCAGAGACCGGAGAGGAGGTCTCGCTTCTCTCCCTGGCCGGGATTCCAGGTCAGTGCCGAGGCAGAGATGAGCAGAGCCGATCGTCCGCGCCCTGTGTAGGCCGTGAACCGGCTGTGTACGTGGAGCTGCTGGAGCCTCACGGTGCGAAGCCACTGCTGCCAACAGGCGACCCCATGCGACCCCGACCATTCCTGAGCCTTACCAACATCTTTCGCCTATTGCTGAACTCTGGAGTTGCAGACCCGGTCGAGGCAGATCCTCAAGTCATGCTTCTACTCGTCGTAGTAGCAAAAAGTGCACAACGCCCGAAGGCGAGCCAATCACTCTGCTACAGCTGGAAGATGGCTCTCAAGTTGAAGCGACGCTTGTAACGGCAGGCGTGCCAGGGCAAGATGTCGTGACATCCAGACAGACGAAGTAGGGTTGCAATTCTGCAGCCACTCTAGCTGACTTTAGCTTGCGTGTGCCATGTGTGCCAGTGCAAGACCTGCAGATGGGGTTCACACCACAGAGCCAGCAGATGTGCGAAAGCGAAAGGTAATCCGACGATCTTCGTTCCGGCTGATGTCGTTGGGCTTCGTGGTAGTGACACTGGGCTTGATTCAGCTTCGTGCGGATCGAAGACACGGCTGAGACGTTCTGTACCCGAGGAGCTTCCCAGTGAGATGGACTACAGCCGCTTGCCTCGATACTTGTAGCTGCTTCTAGTCGCAAGGAGATTTGTTACAGCTCAAGGCCGCATCTTGCCCGTCGTGGACCGGTTACGTGCACAGGCCGCTCCTCTTTTCGGCATCGAGGTGCGCGAAGCCGACCCCTAGAGGTAGGCGTAATGAGACGTGCAGTGTCGTGCAGTGCTGCGCCACCCCGCCACAGCTTCAGGTCTCAGACCAGCCCCGTGTTAGCTTCGTTGCCCCGCCTGGATGCTACATGAGCACCACGGGCGATGCAGTCGACGAGACGGTGACTTGTTGGCTAATGCCTGTGAAGTTCTTTACGCCCTGCGCTGGTAAGCAAAATTGTCGCCAGCACGATGATGGTGGGCAGCTGTGAGTTTGTGCAGCCTACATGGACTGTTACACAGACAGCAGGTGGCCAGTGCCATGCATGTTGACATGCATCCTGCATGCATGATGTATGCATGCATCTACAGTGACTGTGCTCGATTACACGCGCGTAGATTAGAGTACGCGCTGGGGGGTGGTATCTTGAATGCTAGAGGCCCCAAGTTCAGCTGAGGCCATGGATCTTCTCGCTCGAATTAGCACACCTGGCCGCAGCTTCGAACAATAGACCCATTTGCACACTAGTCTGTGTCGACGTCTTTGGAGCATGATTGCAAGCTGCTTGATTTTGTCCCGCCGAAGGCATAAGTTCGTGTTGAGGCATCCATCATGCTTTCACTGGAACCGGATCGATTGCAGTCGCATGCGCGGCACAGGCAAGGAAAGTGAACAGGGATGCTTGCAGTGTGCGGTGGTCGTAAGAGCTCTTGTCATGCCTCATTCAACTCTGCATTGAATTCTCCTAAGCATGCAGGACACCATGCGTCTATACGTGCACATGCACAGGCGTTCATGCATAGGCAAAGGCACAGGCACTTATGGTTTCGGGTCGTGGTTGGGCATGTAACCATTGAATCGGGAGCGTGCGCACTGGCCGATGCACATGTCAAGGCCTACGAAGCGGCGAAAACCCCAAGGGGTGCAACTGCTTAGCAGCTATGCAAATATCGACAAGCCTTTGCAGCTTGCTCTTTCTAAATGCTTTTTAACGACAGCAATGTGTGTAACCGTGTGACGATTGTCGAGTGGCTCCTGGGGGTGGTGCGGCGACTCAAGTTCACAATAATTTGCACGCAAGTCTCGACCTATGACTCTTTTGCGGCCTATTGGGACAATCGCCACTCAGGGTTGGTTTCTGAAGTGAAGCTTTGGGGACGGGTTCCAATGTAATCACGACAGCAGCAGACATTCTTGCAATTTGTTTGCAGAAGGCCTTGTCCGTCTGGGTCGAATGTTGTCTTACGGACTGTTGGTTTTCCCTCTCAACATTAATGATTGTTCAGCAGCGCGGAGGTGAAGAAGAGCGTTCCGTGGCGCTGCATTCCGGAGAATCGACGGAGGTCTCTACTTCGTGTTGGGCATCCTGGCGGCGTCCCATGGCTGCAGCTTTAGACACCGTCTGTGGATTCGCGCCCAGCCCGTTGCTATTGAATCACAATTACAATTGCCGGTAGGGTTGCGTTCGCGTCTGGACTCTACCGCCGCCAGGATGTGCCTCGTAGATCCTCGTAGCAAACTCGACAGACAGAGGTTATGGAAGTGAAGGCCGATGTTCGACACTCCGCTGATCGTGGATGGCATGCGGTTGGTGCGGGCTTTGAGCGAACCTCCAGGTACAACATGCGCAATGCTGAGTGATCGTCAGTGGCATGTGTGTAAATGGAGTTCCGCCGGGTTCGGCTGGTGCTGGTTGCTTCTCGTTTCGCCTGTGCTACTTCTTGTGCTTCAGAACGGGAATAGACACATGCAGAGAACTTGTCGTCGTACACTTCAGCGCAGGTACTTGATGCGTGGAGACGTGTTCATCCCTCGTCCAGGACGAGCTCCCTGAGAAAACACAGCAACCATCTGCGACCTAAACTTGCGTTGGCCGTGATCCCGGCGCTGGAACACAGAGCGATACGGCTTGTAACGCCGGCCACGACCAGCTGGCAAGCTGGCAAGCCAAGCAGATCACGCATCCACAAACTGACCGAAGCTCTGCAGCTCTGAGAAGCCCCGGCACGGAGACGGAGCCAGCAGGAAGACGGCGAGACCGATGCATCCATTTTTTCATTTGAGCTGCAAGAAAAGAGCAGGTGATATAAGTCCCTGGAGGCGTTGCCCGAGGATCGTGAAGTTCGAGCTGCGAAGCATGCCACTGCAAGTTTCTAGAGTAGCTTCATGACCAAGCTTGAAGCCTGATCTTTGGTCGCCTGGGGTTCGGAATCGTAGCAATGCTTGCAGCCTTCACCCCTCTCAAGGCTCTCGTTGCTTCATCGGCTGGAGGGATTGGGCTACCAGCTTCCTTGGGAGGCTCGCCTTGGAGTCCAGCATTTTCCAATATCATGTGTGCAATTTTGGTATCGTGGTGCTAGGAGTAGGTTGTGCCCGACATCACGTAACATGGAATGCAGAGAACTCTCGACGGACAGCGGAGAGACACTGCCCCGTCTGCCGTCATTAGAAACGTGCCATGATGCGTCACCTTGCGACGGACAGTTTCCTCGCTGACAAGCAGCACCGTTGGCAGGCAACGCCTCTGCTCTTCTCTCGAATGGTTGGGTCCTAAGTTTGATGCGCAGTTGAGATCCTCCTTTCCACCCATCCTCGAATCACTTGAACAAGGACATTCCGCTAAACCCAACAAAAATTCTTCAAGCACTGCTAGATGTTGCATTGAGCACCTCTCAACTCTACGCGGATGCGAGGCAGGCGCAGCAGGATGCCAAGAAGACCACTACAAGTCACTACAAATGTGCCCCAGGAGCACTAGTCACTAGTCCCTTGACTGTGCGCCCGACGGAGCCGCGGACCGGAACCGGCAAACTACAGTTCTCCTGAGCTGCAGGTCACGAGATGTCACGAGCCAACATGCTGGGAACGGCTGGGTTAATGTAATGCTAGAGAGAGGCTTGGTGGCTCGCCATCGAGCAACAAGCACCAAGACGCGAAGCCGTTTACTGGACCCTGAATGTATCATACGGCACGCTGTGTCAGGTTCCAGTGGAGCCGCAAGATCCTCAGTAATTACGGGATGCATTCTGCATGCATGATGGCATGACCTGGGCAATCTATGTGAATGAGGCCTTTGCTTCCTCTTCCAGGGCCCTTTTACACGGCATGACCTCATGCAAAAGGCCGCGCGCACTGACAGTCCAAGCGAAGCAGGTGACAGTGCTACCCTAGGAAGAGTCAATCTTGCCCATGGCGAGCGTAGGAAATCTATCACAGCGTACTGGTCACAGGTGCAGAGTGGTGCAGAGCGGCGTGACCATGTCATTGGCAACACTGACAAGTCTGGAGAAGTTTGTCCAACAAGGACTGGACTGGGGAAGAGGGTGTGCACTTTTCAATTGTAACGTGATTGCTGGAACCGGTGGTCCATGGTGGTTCATATTCGGCAGGCATTGGCTGTTGATGCCGTCCGCTCGTTGATGCACGAACTACGATAAGTCATGCCTCAGAGACTTCTGGCGTCCGCGCCAGCAGCGGTCTAGTGTGTTACGAAAGCCGAACTTCTGCACCCACAATCCGGCTTCCGCAAGTAATGATCGCCCCTTCTTTTTCTATGAGGGGTTCACAGTGGTGCCCTGTTAACCGATGCTTTTTGCAGGAGGCCCAGCAACAGTTTAGTTGTGTCTGCATCTCGATCGTGCAAAAAGTGTTGTCGCAACACGCTCGCTGTGGCTCACGGCAGGCGCCGACTGCAGAAGCCGCCAACGCCGAGCATCTTCTGAAACTCCGAAGAAGCGGAGCTGGTGCAGTTGGCTCTACTCTATGCTGCTGGGCTGCTACGAGTAGGTAGACCCGACATATGATGCGACAGTGAGCGACATGCAAAGGGATATTTGGACAAGGTCTTGCGGAAGAAGCCAGCTTGCCATACAGGAGCCGAGGCAGGTCAAACCAGGCGGCAGGCGACAAGGTCTCAAGTCGCTTGAAGGCGTCTTTGTTGCTGATTTCGGAGACACTTGGGCATCAGAATTTCTAGATACGGAGCTTGGTCGGTTGGGCTTTCGAAGTACCAGCTGAGGATGAGCACTCAGGGTCACGGCGTTGTGGCAGCCAGTGCAACAGGCGGGTTTTGCACTTGGCAGAGTGCTTCTCGGGAGTGGGATGATGTGCGCCCCCCCCCCCCCCCCCCCTCCCCCCAATGATTGCAGACGGCAGCTACTTGCCCCAAGACCCAGATGCCAGTGGTCAACTTGTCTCAGGAATCCTCCGAGAGTTGCGGCAGAGGCTGGGGCGCCACCGCGATGTGATCACAGCGTAGAGGCCAGGCCGCCAGGCCGCAGGCATGGCCTTGCTGCAGAGCCGCTCACACGGGATCTCCAGATGCAAACCGCTTCTGCAAAAGCAGATGCAGTTCCTGCATCCTGCATCGTGCCGTTCCGACTTGAGCGCCGTGGTAGGCGAAAGACGCACTCAATCAGCAGCCAATTTTTGGCGCTTGGTGTTGAAAGTTGAGGAATTCGCCGGATGTGGGATCCACCTCGATGCACCCTCGCGCTGTTGGTTAGTCTTTGAATTTGGGTTTCTTCTTGTACAGTAGGTTGCGAAACTTTTGGGTGCAGCGTTTACATCTTCATGCTGTGCAGTAGCTCTCCCGACACTGCGCACAGACACCCAAGCACTCGCCCACTTAACTTGCATCATTCCGGTTTCTGTATCTTGTTGCTCCTTGGTCCTAGCCGGTTCTAGCCACAAACTGCTCTGTGCAGGCTTTCGGGCTTGTGGTCACATCCCATCAAGCTGTCGCAGGAACTCTTGAGTCATGTTCAAGGCAGCCTGAAACAGTTGCGGAACTGCAGTCAGGAAGAGTTTGATGGTTCCGGTCTTGAGGGTTCTCTCGTTCGAGAAGCTCTCGGAGCGCGAAGCTTAGGGTTCAAAAAGCTTGTTTCGGATGTTGTTGATTCGGGGAGTTTCGGCGCTTGAACTTTTCTGATCAGCTTCGGGTTTGGCAAACCTTGCCGGCCTTCCAGCTCGAAAGTCCGCCTTGGTGCCCGATAGATCAGTCTGTAAAGATGGTCGCTATGTCGGACGATGAAATTTACGGCCATTTGGATCTGGTCGTCGCGCGCCTCAGCTGCAAAGACGGGGGAGTTTTGGCGAGCAGCCCCGCGGAGGCAGAGATGGAGAGACTCGCCAAACTTCAGGACCATGCTGTGGCCACTACTCGTTGGGCCGAACATGCCCATCTTGATGAACGCCGAGGAGGACTCTGATGACGACGGCGGCTGAGGCTGACTGGTTTTGGCGTATTTGTCTTCGTCGATGAGTTTTTGATTCGTGCTGAATTGCATCCCCTACTAGTAGCAAGCTTTTTTGATTGTGTGGACACTGGAGAGTGGAAATTGAACAGTTTCTGTACACGTGGCACTCGCAGCGACTGACCACGGCATGGCCGGATCATCGCCAGTTTCGAGGCCTTCATGGAGCGTTTCGAAGCCATGCACATGGACGAGGCAAGGCACTGGAAAATTCCTCGCATCGTGCACGATCCAACCATGTGCAGAATTACATACGTTATCTAATTACCGATTTACCAACGACCAGTTCCTATGGATGTCTGTGCCAAAATCATGAGGTGTTGTCACACTGCTCAGCTTACCTGAACATGTGCGTCTCGTGGGCCTTTGAGCTCAGGGATCCCCTGACAATTTCATGAGTTATTCAGGAATCAGAGCTGTCTGCTGACGTTGTGGTCGTTGGAGGCGGGGGCGGGGTATCGATCTCCGGCACTAGGACGTGCTTTCGTCTTGCCAGTGTGTGGTGATGATGACGCTGGGACCCACGGAGAGAGTCCTCCAAACGGAAAGCTACGTAAGCCCATCAAGCTCATCGGTGAGTCAGTGTTGGGAGGTAGTTCCGCCGTGCCTTTTCATGCGAACTGTTTTGGCAGGGACTAGGGTCTTCCCTGGGGAAGGACTCTATTGTCGTATGGAGGATGCTAGCGCAAGTTGTATCAGTGCACCAGACATTGCAGATCAACACAGCCGCTGATGTGGGCGATTGCTACAAACTTGCATGCACATGCTGTCGCATGCTGTCGCATGCTGTCGCTGAAAAGTCCTGTCCTGCAGGCGGCGTTGCCGGCCTGACCTGCTCGGAGCGACTTCTGCGTGCGCGACCGGAGCTGCAGGCCTCGCGGCGGCGAGCGGTTTGAGCGCCCATGATTGCTTGGCGAAGGTTCTGCTCCTCGAGTGGCAGGACCGGCTTGGGGGCAGACTTTGCAGCCACAAGGCCTGGCCTACGACTTCGTGCTCCAGAATTGTGTCACATTCTTGCTTTCGAAGCGTGTCAAGGCTTCGCCAGGGTCGAACGTGTAGCTGGGAGTTGTGTGAGTGACGCGAATGACACTCCATGCCTACGATGTGCTGTGTATTGCTGCGTGTTGTGCTAGCTCAGCAGGATGAGATTTGGGGAACTGCTGATTCGGTTCTGCTTCAGGCATGCGCGTCATATCCACTCCCTGCTGTCGAGGTCGGCGATGTGACAGCGGACGCCGGCGCGGCATGGGTTCATGGAAGCCCGTTCTGCAAGAAGCACCGACTTGCCATTATGATCCATCAGCGGTGCGTGCGTACCTGAGTGAAGGCACTGACGGCAACCCTTTGCTGCTGGACGGCCTACTTCACGAGGAGGCAGGGTGCGTGCGCTGCCGCGCTGCCGGTGCCATGCTGGCTGCTGTTGGACTTGAGGACATCTTGCCGAGCAGTGGCCACAACATCTGGCTGCACGGTGCCGCTGACGGCGACAGCTGCAGCTTCGTCCGCTCTGCGGTGCGCCCTTTGCCAAGCCAGCACTGCATCTGTGCGCATCCGGGCTCTAGCAGGATGATGACCTTTGGGAGCGCCGGCTTGCTCAGCTTGGGAGCGCAGCCGCCGCAGCCGGATGCGCCGTTCCAGGAAAGTCCCTCCAGGAGCTGCAGACTAAGGGCAGGCAGGCGCCAGGCCGGTACTAGGCTGCTAGGCCACGGCTGACCCCATCTCGACGCAGTGTGCTGTCAGGAAGGACTTCGAGACACCGAAGCCACACTGGGGCCACTGAGCGAAGCCGAAGCCAGGCGTCTGCGGCTTCTGCAGCTTTGGTTCGGGACGTCTGCTGATCCTTGTCGTGAGCTTTGCAACCTTTGCGCACCAGATCGCGAGCGGTTCTCTAAAGTCTTCACAAGCATCAACAAGCAAATTGATGTAGCGGCCAGTGCGACTTGTTCAGAACACCTTCCGAGATGCCACCAGGGGCTTTTCCGATCAGACCTCATGTTTCCCGAAGCATGTAAATGGGATTTCGTGTGAGATGCGTGTTCTCACTGTGTACACGTAACTAGTCTGTATCGGTGTTCCGGTGCATAGGAAGTTGTCAACTCGAAAAGTCTCTAGGATCGCAGTTTTGAAAGGCTTTGCTTACAAGAGTACATTCCAACCGAGGAGGAGATTGGCATGCTGGAGTGGGACTCGGAGCATGGATCCATGGGAGACTATCCCGGACCCCATGCTGTCTTGAAAGGCAGCCCGCCAGCGCATTCATGGACAAGACATCGAACCATCGGTGGCATGTCCAGGCGGTGCAGAGTCCCTCGCAAAACGTTTGGCTGCGCATGCACAGCGGCGTGGCGTCCAAGCTCCTTGGCCACTGAGATGGGTCGGAATGGCTGCTGCCTGCACCTGATGTGGTTTGGGCGTGGCATTGAGGTGCGCTTCGGAGAAGAGGTGATCCGTATGCGAGAGGCATCGACGGTTGATACAGTCCGCTTCTGCTGCTTGATGCATCCAAATGCCTGACAGGATCCAGCAGGCGTTGTTGTACACTGCCGAAGTGGCCTTCGCTGCCGTGCCACATGGGCAGTGCTGACAGCGTCTTTGGGCTCCTTTGCACAACAGTTCGCGTCGTTGCCTAGACAGCCGCACGATGCAAGATCTGTCCACGTATCAAGCTAGATCAATTATTCTAGCATCCGGAGTATTCTGATAGGTGTGCTGAAAAAGCTGGGGCCAGACTTCATCGATCCAGCTATGCCAGCGACCGTCCAACGTGCTCTGTCACGCCTACAGATGTGTCCCCGTGCTGCAATCAGCTGTTGAAGCGGCGACGAGACTTCCCAGCGTACGAAGCATGGTGAATGCTGAGGTCATTACAACAAGATCCTTCTCGAGGTTACGGAGAAGGCCCGCCACGGAGAGCGTGTTACGTCATGTTATGTCAGGGTTGACACCCATCTCCCGGAAATGCCACACGAAGGAGTGCATGTCCCCACAGAGGACGGCACCTTCCGCAAGTAGCAGTAGGATGTTAGTTTGCTGACTACGGAGGCTGCAGCACGATTTCCCGTATGGGCAGACATAGATACTTGGCCGCTGCTGAGTAGCTTGGTATGTGGGATGTCGTGCCGCAGAAGCGCAACGCATCAGCACGATGCTGGGCAAACGGCCGGTTGGATGAAACCCGTGCTGAGGATTCGCGCTACTTCTGGCAGCTTTTCAACTACTGGCCCCTGAATGGCAAAGCGCTAATGCTCGAGCCTGACGACTATTGTTTGTTGAAGCAAATGCATTTGTCTTCCTGACGGAGAGCTTCGCCAAGGTCGATGGCTTCGGTCATCCCAGAAGTACAGGCGATGTCTGACGAGGAAGCGCGAGAGGTGCTCCTCAGGGATTAGTTTCGGCTGCTGCATCAGAGAGTTCATGATGAGTAGCAATGCGGAGCCACAGCGGAAATGACGGGCGTGACGATATGACAGCTCATTTCGAGCACGGCCATGACGATACGTACGATATCACACACGATAATACCAGCTAACATTGAACTACGATCGTAGCAGTAAGCTAAGTGGCAGGTCTACAGCACCAGGTAAAAGTCAGCTTGATGTAATCATGCTTCTCCTCACAAACTCCCACTTCATGCAGGCAGCGGTACGAGTTTGTCGTACTGACTGAAAGTGGTGCTGGCAGCGGCATTATTCCTTGTAAAGTTGGAGAGCAGATTGCAGGAGTAGTAGTCGTAGTCTTAATGACTGTGGTGTGTCATAGCGGCAGTGGTAGTACTCGTCGTCGTCTCAGTCGTAGTAGTATTAGTCGATATTAGTCGAAATAGTGTCAGTGGCGGTGGTGGTAGTAGTAGTAGCGGTAGCAGTAGCGATAGCAGTAGCAGTAGCAGTAGAGTAGGAGTAGTAGCAGTGGCAGTGGCAGTAGCGGTAGCGGTCGTGGTAGCGGTAGCAGTAGTAGTAGCAGTAGTAGTAGTAGCAGTAGTATTAGCAGTAGTAGTAGTAGTAGTAGTAGTAGTAGTAGTAGTAGTAGTAGTAGTAGTAGTAGTACTGTTGATGGAGGAAATCTTGCACCAGTTTAAGTGGCCAAGCCAAGCAGACACCCCACGCCCCCTTTTTAACATTGACCGGTGATCCTCGGAAGTGCCGTGAGTTCCAATGACAAAAATCTTGCACCACCTCCGTATCCATCATCTTCAATGTTAAAAAGGGGGTGCGGGGTTATGCTCAAGTGTCGTGTCACCTGTTATTAGGCAGATGGTGCAAGATTTCCTCCATCAACCGACAGGATCCTTCTTGCTGAGATGACCAAAGTAGCCTGTGTCTTCACTCGACTGTACCACGCTTCCTGTGACGGGTACCATCCACATGCAGACTAAGCCCGATACATGTCCAAGAATGCGATACGGCAAGCTTGTTGGCACGGCTGGTTGCTATAGGTACGGCCCAAGACCACACAAGCCGACTGTGGTTGCAGGCTTCCAGGATGCGACTTTTTTTTGCACCCTGACCCGGGTGCTCCACTTCGATCCAAGTCTGCTCCATGCAGCTCCGCGGCACTCCAGTGGGACTCCCACTGGCGAGCTCCTCGTGTATTCTGGCTTAGTGATTAGTGTAAATTCCTGGCATTTCCCACAGTTAACGCTCAGTTAACACTCAGTTAACGCTCAGTTAACACTACAGTTAACACTACAGTTAACACTGCCGAAATGCTGCGAAAACCAGCATACTACTACTGCTGCTACTACTGCTACTACTGCTTCTACTGCTACTACTGCTACTACTGCTACTACTGCTACTACTGCTACTACTGCTACTCCTACTACTACTACTACTAATACTAGAAGTAGTAGTAGTAGTAGTAGTAGGAGTAGTAAGAGTAGCAGTATTAGCAGTAGTAGCAGTAGTAGCAGTGGTAGCAGTAGTAGCAGTAGTAGTAGTAGCAGTGGTAGTAGTAGTAGTAGTAGTAGTAGTAGAGTAGTAGCAGTAGAGTAGTAGTAGTAGTAGTAGTAGCAGCAGTAGTAGTAGTAGTAGTAGTAGTAGTAGTAGTAGTAGTAGCAGTAGCACTACTACTACGACGACGAGTAGTAGCAATGGTGGTGGTACTAGCAGTACCATGTAATACGGTTGTTGTTGTTGTTGTTGCTGCTTTGGTGGTGGTGGTGGTGGTGGTGGTAGTGGTGTCGCAGCAACAGTAGCGGCGCGAGGTCACGGCAAAGCCAGCATTATCAGCAGCAAAAACTAGCAGCTAACAACAACAATGGGACTTCTAATTTTGCATGTCACTTCGACTGGAATCGCAATACCGATGCCTGAGAACAATGAAACGGACAGGAACAGCGGTGTTTCATGTATTTCCAATGCGTAGCACCACTCGCACCAGCTGCTTGCGCAGCAGGTCGCTGAGCAGCTGCTTGGACTACTTCCTGGCGAAGTCTTGGCTGTGCACATGACGCGATGGGGCCAGGTGGAGTGGGCACTGGGATCCTACTCGAAGCTTGCTGCCGTTTATTTACTTGCGTCGGCAGGTAGCGTCTAGGTCTTGCCTTGCTTTTTCTCGAGCCATGTCATGGAATGGACATTTGTGACCGGGGCTTGTTGTTACTTGCTGTGCGATCCTACGACTCTCTCTTGTTGAGGGAGCTTGAGTTTCTGGCTGCCGGCCTGGGACGCCCTTTTTGGCTGTCGTTCGACCTCTGCTAGCACGGCCTTGAAACTTGCAGCTTCCGTAGCCCATGCTTCAGCAGTCAGCGCGTGCTACCCAACCAGAACAAGCTAGAATACGTCGAAGTGCCAACTGAGGATGAGCACGAAAGATGCGGCAGCTTTGCTGCAGCCAGTGCATCCTTGCGCTTACCCTTGAATCGTGTATGCTTCCGAGGAGTGGGATGATGTGCGGTCATTGGTTTCTGGCATGGAAGGCAGAAGGATCCGGCTTGCAGGCGAACATACCCACGAAGAGCATCAGGACGGGCCCTCAGAGATTACTGCTTCATGACCGCTCGTGGTTCGAGATCCATGGTGCACTTCCCAATCTGCTGACACCCGGGATCGGTCGTGAGAAGCATTGTGACACCGGCGAAAGCCGTAAGAGGAGTGCTCGTAGCCGGATGATATCTGTGTCGCTGGACTCAGGGCGGCTTTCATGCCGCATATCTGTCTGGCATACGAGCCGCAGAGGAGGCCTTGCAAGGCTGGGTCAGTGCTGTCCTGTACGGAGACTGATGTGAAGAGCAAAGCCACTCTCTTCCAGTTACCTGTTCTCCAGGCCTTTCTGGCCCCCCAAAATGTGATGCGCTGCATTTGGGCAAGGACCCCTGAGAAGTCGTGGTCTGCAGTGTGTGAACTGTAGCCGGCGTGTGGGCTGAGCTCGCTTCGATTTGGAAAAGATATGGATCGGCAATGTCGCTGCTGCTGCTGCTGCTGCTGCTGCTAAAGTGTGGCAAATTGCACAGCTGCGCAGGCTCGCGAGTGCCGTCTGATGTAGGTCAATCCGTGGTGTGGAGACAGCGGATTCACTCGCCAACACTTTCTCTCATGTGTGTGGCCCAAGAAGTGTAGAGGTCCCTCGGGAAGGCCGGGGGAGAGCCAGGGATTCTCAGGCTTGCGGCGAGCTCTGAGGCTGGCCCCTTGGAACAGCTGGGCATCGTCTTCATAAGATCTCAGTAGCAGTGGCACTGTCGTGGCAGTCTTTTCAAACGTGTCAGCAAGAGCAAGGCCATGAAGAATGACGATGTCAGCGAGGGCAGCCGGGAGCTGGTCGACCTCAGCGCAGAGGCACAGCAGAGAGCTGTTTTTTTGTTTTTTTCTTTTTCTGGGGCCGTTGCACATGATGATCTGCCTCTATCGCCTCGCTTGATGCGTCTGGTTCTCATGACTGACACAGCAACAGCTCTGGAAGCCTGCGAGGCTGTCAGCTCATTGGGCATTCACCTGGCTCAGATCGGGCAGATTATCTCCAAGCGCAGCCCTTGAGCTTCCCCACGGTTCTCAGGATACTGGCAGTTTTGAACTTCAAGCGATCGTGGGACAGGTCCCAGCTGCCTCCTAACAGAGGGGAGAAGAGCTCAGCGCACAAGCTGAAGAACTCTCTAGAGATGTACCAGGCCGGACAACTTTTGGGATTGTGTGATGCAATGAAAGCTTCTGCTCTGCCAGGGCTACACTGATGAAGTGCAGCGGAGAAGAATGGAGTTAGAGACCGCCTGGCATGTCGAGCCACGAGTGTACGGAATCCGCTTCCTGCATGCGCCAGCTAGGCAGAAGATGGCAGATGACTTCGCCCGACTGAAAGCCTGGCGTGCACAGTCCGGCACCGAAGGCCAGGCTTGGTAGACAAGAACGCGGATTGTGCCCGAGTGGCCAGAACAGTAGTGGAGTATCTCGGAAATGTGGTTGCCGTTTTTCTGATTTTTTTGACTGTGTGTTCACACTTATAGCTTGTGACTGTGTAATGTATCTATGTTTGTATGCATGCATGTATGCATGATTATGCGTGCCTACAGGTTGCATGCATGGACTAGAAGGACGGAGGGACGGACGAATGGATGGATGGATGGATGGATGATGGATGCAAGCAACGTCATATAGACATTTACGGTTGTTGTATTTGTTGTTGCTGCCGCTGTGAAATCTGTTAGTGCTAGTATGCACTGTTATTACATAAATGTTATTCTTTTAAATGCTCGTGGTAGTATGTTTGCTGTCATCGGTATCATCTGTCATCCGTTATTTCACGTTGACGACAATCGTGATGGTTGCACAGAAAGATTCGCAAGATGATAAATTTCTTCAGTAATCTTGCGATGTTGTTCTTATTTGGACGTGAGTGCAGATTTAGTGCATGTAATCATGCAAGACACGTTTGTACGCAAAAACTTTCCTGCAACATCTTGGGCTAGCAGACCTCATCGGCAATATCTTGTCTGCAGGCTGCGAGCTGCAGAAAGTTCTGTCCATGTAAAGTCAACTTGTTTTTGGCACAGGCCAAGCCCTAGTTAATGATTTCCGGCTGACTTTGTACAGCCCCATGTCATGCATGGACTCATCAGACTCTTTCCGCCTGCTCAGGCAAGGGTCTTGTCGAGGAGCTGGAGGCACTGTATGGCAAGGTTCGGCAACAGGCCGGACGCTTGCTTGCTGATTTAGCTATGAAGGAGAGACTCAGGGAGTTGAGACCTGTCCGATTTGAGACTGCAGAAGCCCTTGCAATTCGTGGGGAGTCCGAGTGCCCAAGTCCAGTGCCGTGTGCAGCGGCATAACCCTGCTCGCTCCAGCAAGCCGTCAGGATAAAGAGATAAAGAAGAAGCAGCAGCAGATAGAGGAGGAGCAAGCGAGAGTCGGGAGCTTCGTTTGCTTGCAACATTGCAGAACGGATGTGTGTTTTCTTGGAACGAAGAACCTGCGGGGAAGGTGCTTTGACCTGAACACCGTAGTGTCACAGTGGCATATTCGTCAAGATATTAGCGCTGAATAGCGTTGCTAGTGATGCGACAGGACCATACCAGGCGTAGCCATAAAACTGTGCAGCAAGGCTACTGTACAGATGTGCCTTTGCATGAACCAGGTCAAGGAACTGGAAGAAGCAGTCGCACTAAGGGAAAGAAAGTGGGACTCTTTGGCAGAGGACAGTGCTTGCTTTCATGGCTTAAAACATTCTGAAATCTTCTGCCGTAAGTACGATGCTGACTCTGCCTCGTCGCAGGATTATGGAAAAAAGCTGGTCAAGATGAGAAGAGAGGCACATACAAACGAGATGCATAACATCAGACAAGACCGGAAGGCTTCATCACTGACCCCAGTTGCCGGAGCTGTGCTCCTGGATCAACAGGGTTCCACCGGAGAGCTGAGCAGCCGTGCAAGTTCCTTCCCCATCAAAAGAATCGCATAATCAGATCGTGGAGCGCGGTGGCCTCTGCTCTTGGCTGCAGCGCCTCGTCCGATGTTCAAAAACAGGTTTGGCAAGATTGCAGTTTGAGCTAGGCAAGGCAAGTTGGCGGGCTTCAGCGGTTCGGAGATACAATGTACATAGTTGAGGCATTTAGCTCTCCTGCTGTGCCAACGATCTAACTAACCTAAGCCCAGATTACTGGTGAATGGGAACGGTTCAGGCTGGGTTCAGCATAAGACCATCTCCAGTTTTGCTTGCGTTTTGAGGATTTTAAGGGTTTAGTGTTGTGCTTTGTTTATTTGTTGTGTGTGTGTACGTGTGTAGCAAGAGAATTCATTCATTGAGCGACATCTACGTGCTAGTGATGTTTAGGAATCCTGACTAGCTGCTGCAGCAGGAGGCCCCTTCTGCTTCTGCTTTCTTACGCGTTTGCGGTTCTATGATGACTACGACTCTGACTGCCACTGCCACCTGCCCTGCCACTGCCACTGCCGCTGCCACTGCCACTACTACTTACTACTACTACTACTACGACGACTACTACTGCTACTACTACTACTACTACTACTACTACTACTATTACTACTACTACTAGTACTACTACTACTACTACTACTACTACTACTACTACTACTACTACTATTACTACTACTACTACTACTACTACTACTACTACTACTACTACTACTACTACTACTACTACTACTACTACTACTACTACTAATTCGAGCTAGCACCTTGAACACCACGATTTCCATCGTGCTGTTCGATTCATTCAGGGTTTTGGGGTTCTTATGGACGACTTCGTTTCTTGAGATGAATACTACTTTTCTGACCTCTGCCTGTTGCAGCCCTAAGTTCTGGGCTGCAGGTCCACTGAGGATGTATGAACAGTTAGATGTCGGTCCGACAAAGACAAGCCTTGACAGCGAGAAGGTTTCAGTCCTGAGGGCGGGCGATATGAGCCGTAACTCGTGGACAACACTTGAGCCCTGAGCCCTGATGCTCTGCATTCTGCATGCTTCGGATCGCATGGACAACGAGTGTAGAGCGTCCAAGGTGTGCATTCGACGAAATACGCTTCAAGTGGAAAGCAGCAGAAGAGTCTGCCACCCAGCATTCGAAACAGGAGCTGGCTGAAAACTACGTAGTATGAGAAGCTTGCGGTGCCGGTGCTCACCCTCCACATCATGGCCGATCAGCCTGCATTGTTTCCTGCATGTGTAGCATGATGCTGCATGTTACCTTTCCGGAGGAAGGAGAAGCTCAAGATTGAGCATCACCAACGGATGCGAAAGGTGCCTCCCGCATGGAAGTGTAACGGGCGCTGCGCAACCGGTTGTTGCCGAATGATCTGTGGAGTATGAGCATGCGCTTGACAGATACTGTGAGGCACCCCAATCTTTTGCTGCGCTGCACAGGCGCGAGCCCAGGCACGGCTGGACGTCATCCAGCGAGAGCGCAAAAAGCGGCTTATCCAGGCGGGGTCCAGCTCACACAAATCTTGCGAGAGAGGTTCCCGGCAAGATCGCAAGGTGTGTGACGAGAAGCTTGTTTTGACTCCGCAGACTCCGACATGCTTCCCACATTTCACAACCTGCCAGCGTTGATGATGCAGACTTCTGAGCAGCCCTCTTGAAAGCTGCAGGCATGCATGGTAGCGCTGCAGGAGGAGTCCATAGAGGGCCTGCAGCCCAGTCTTTCAGATCCAGTTCCAACTTCCACGAGTCTGAGAATCTGCGCACGCCGGGAAAGCAGAGCATGTTACCATCTCATGTACTCTCATGCTTGCGGATGCCTAGGCCGGCATGAGAAGCATCTTGAAGAGCACCTGCACTCAGCACCGACCGGCTTGTTGCACCATTCTAGTGACGGGCCGCACAAGCTGCTGACTCACCGGCTGCGATGCTGAGCATAGTTATAGTTCGCAGCTGGATGATTGGACAAGCTGCATGCTTTGCTCCGACCCAAGGCTGCGACGAAGACACGATGACGAGATCTTGGTGATGAATGCACAGCTGGCGCAGGTCCATGCCGACGGACATCTGAGACCTTTCATGTCCATGCTTTTAGCCGGACATGCTCATTTGGGAGCGAACTGCATGAGATGCCGGTCATTGCCAGTCGCAGCAGCTTTGGCAGGCTTTGGGCGACGAAGAAAAGGCCAAAGAGCTCGTCCAAGAGCAAGTGCGCCGTGCAGCTGGCCTGCTTGCCTCGCATGCAAGCGAATTTACGGGAGCTGCGCATGTCGAATGGTGGCTAATGTGTTTTGTTTGTCATGGGAGAGGCTTCACAGCGCCAGTGCACGCAGCATCACGCAGCTTTTCCAGTGAGTCAATCGAGCTTTTGAAGAATCGAGCAGTTTTTCGTACGGTACCAAGATGGGCCTCCAGCACATGGCACAGGGGAAGCCAGGTTGGTTATTCACGATCTCGATAGCAGCACATCTATCGGAACGAGTTGTGTACTGAAAGTACTCTTGGGCATCCCATTCTGTTTCTCCAAGCGCAGCAAGACAATTTGTGTGCGCGCAGAGGTTGCGGCCACCCATAAGCCATGGGTCCGATATAGCAGGGGTGCATTGTTACCCATGCCGCCGTAGAACATTTGCTCCGCCATGCGCCCTGGGCGTCTCCTGGTCATCTTGGCTGTGCTGGTGACCTCCTCAGCTGGATGTCATGTCACATCGTATTATGTCATGATACATGATATGAGCAAACCATGGCCAAGCCTGCGCTGACCTGCAGGAAGGCGATCGAAGCAGTGTTTCGGGCATTTGAGGTGCATTGGCCGACACCATGGATACCGTGGAGACACTCGGGCCGGCGTGATGCCAGCTTGCCACAGGGCACTAGGCAAGACTTGACAGGGTCAAACGGTTTGTGAGACATGGGCGGACAAGCGCCTGCAGGCCTTGCGGCAGCAACTTCTGTGGATGCAACTCTGCCGCATGTCGAGGGGCTTCAGGGCCAAACGGTGCAAAAGGGCAAGTGCCACAAGCCCCAGCCCTGAAAGGTGCATGTGCAAGCTGCTGAAAGCTTGCAGCTTGCACTCCACGGCATGTAGCCCTGTGCGACAAGCATGTTCACTCGTCCAAGGCGAAGGTAGTAGCGATGCGTGATGCCATGGAAGAAAGAGTGTGTGTGTGTGTGGTCTGTCAGGCACGCTCGTGGGCAAGCGAAAGATTCGCGAGCCTTCCGTTATCAGACCAGTGGCTCCATCTGCCATTGACACCTACTTGGATTCAGCAGCCGTGCTGCAAATTGAAAATGCTTTTCTTCAATCAGTTTCAACGAGGAGCTCTGGCTGTCTCCGGAGCTTTGGGCTTGTATTAAAGCTGGCTTTAGACTTTAGACCAGGCTTTTGATCCCCTGAAAGTGTTGCGCCCGCACCGCCCCCGCGATACATGTTGGCATGTCCAGCGATTTCCCTGCTGCCTGGCCGCAGTGATGCCACCGCGACATTTTGTGAAGTCTAACCCTTCAGCACGCCTCGCAATGCATTTCCCTGTGCTCGTTGCTCCCCCAGCACTTGTGTTTCGAGGGACCTCCTCAACAGCACTTGGAGTTATTCCTGGTGGAACCCAAATCATGCTTGCTGCACAACAGCAGGTCGTTCTATCCCAACCGCAAGAACACGGCTTCGTGTTGACACTCGGGTAGTTCCGGTTCCGACTGTGACTAGTGACCAGAACGTAAGAGTAGTAAGAGGCATATTATGACAGAGTTCCGTCGTGATAATCCGACCGAATCCGACGACACGTCTGAGCGGCCTTTCAACCCCGCAGAGAGGTCGGTGTGGATAGCTTTGGCCTTGGCATCCTTGTCGGTGTCTTCGGCACTCTTTCCACAATCACAGCAGTCCTGCTGCCCGGCCTGCAAGACAGTAGCAGGAATGTTCAGTAGTAGTTGTAAGGCCCATATCAAGAATGCTTGGCCAGAGTCAATAGCCGGGTCTTGTGGCACCAGAAGCTACGAGAACAGTAGACAATGAACAAATCTGCTATTCGTACTACACTCGTGCCACCAGTTGCGCCTCGCCGTCACTCGCACCTGCTCCCAGTACAACAAAACCAACCCGTGCAGTCCGAGGGAATCTGTGCCTGGGGTAACCTCGAGTGTCGGTTAGGAGGTTGGATTCAAGTACGAATACCGGAATACCGTTTTGGGTTTCGTCGGCATCGCCGGCTACCCTTCCAATATGGAAGCCTGTCTTATCTTGCACTACATTTTTTGGGCTCGCCAAGTGTGCCGTGCACTCCGAACATTAGCAAAGCTCGGTCGCAGTCGCACACAGACCAGGTTCATTTTCGTGAAGAATCTGCGTGGCGACGACTTTGACGGCAACACTCTGGCTTCTTCTGGCGGATTCGTCATGCCCAACTTTTTCTTTCAGGTTGGGCACTTGAGATGCTTCGTTCGGAGTTCCACTCCGTTTGTCGATGTATGCCGCAAATTAACAGCTTCAACTTGTTTGTTTCGGTAGACACGAACACGGACTGTGACAAAGGGTTCTGGTCCATCTGGTCCACCCACAGGATAGAGACCACACTGTCTATGGCAATTGAAGCTAGCAAGCTCTGCATGCAGAAGCCGTTCCAGAGGTGCTTCACGCTTGCAGTTCTGCGGTCTGTGCGTTGGCAGGGTGCGCGCGACATCTTCAGCAATGTGCGGGATGATGCCGCCGTTCAACTGAATCAGCTTGCTTTTGCTTTTTGTCTGTCTGCGAGGCACGGCCTAGCGTTCGTTTCGAATATGCCTCCACTGCCGACCCTAGACTTCGAAATTAGACGAGTATGGACTTCGAGCTGGAGGATGCGATCCAGGTAAATACTGCTAGAAGGGTGGAAACGCAGCATGTGGTATACGGTATACATGTACACGAGTGATGATATGTGCCGTATGCCTGCATGCAACAACATGCTTTGATAGATGCGTATATGCACAGATACGCCGTGCGTAGCAAGAGTGGAATGAAGAAAGTCGAGCCATTGGCGTAGAAGTCTGCATATGCAGCCGGAAGGGAGGAGAGTAGAAGCAGAACTGGGAGTATAAACTGTAAACGCTACCGTCACCGTGAACAAGCTGCATTGAGGTCGACAGCAATAAAGTAGTAGGGCTAGTGGTATTCATACTTGTAAAACCTCGCAGTGATACTGGCAGAAGGGAGCAACAGAAACGTCAAAGCCGATCATGAGCCTAACCGTGATCAAGATTATTAGACTTAGACTTATACCGATACCACATAGCGGCAGTCAGCCCTAAGTGGTCTTGAGAATAAGACAAAGACGCCCCTGTCAGCAAGGCCGAGTCCACAGCAAGATTCAAGGCGGGCGGAAAGTTGGGGCCGAGTTGCCGAGTTGGAGCGCGAGGTTTAGGGTTTAGGGTGCAGTTGAAGGAAATACCAGTGGAAACATGGTTCGAGCAACAAAGATGACGCCGACCATGGAACACTGAGTGATCACGGTGACACGTGTTGAAGCTCGTGTAGTGCCCGACTGCCAGATTTTTGGGCGGTCACCCTGAGTGGTGGATAGAAGTCCCAACCGGGATCGAAGCCTCAAACCCTCCAGTGGCCTGGGTTCTTGTTCGGTCTCAGATTGTCCGACCAGGAGACCGGCCGATTCGCCGAGATCTACACAGGCAGGTTCACCCGTGGGGAATACTCTTGCGACATCCGAATCATCTCCTGCAAGGTATACAGCGGTCACAGGAGATGGCGATGCTGCGCAGCCTTGATGCAGCTCGGATGGCCAGCTTAAGCGGTGCCATGCCAGACTAGCAATCCTGGTACACTCTAAGAGTCGAAAACAATTTGAACAATCACATGCGCATGCGTGCATACATATGTGTCTACACGGTTAAATGAGTTTATTAATTCAGAAACACCTTCGTACATGATATCTTATTATACTGTCTATTCTGCATTGTGTTGTTTTGTTTTAGATTACGATATATCACAGTGTTGTGTTTGCGTGTATGTATATATCTATATATGTATATATGTGTGTGTAGATTCAGTTTAGATTCTGCCACAGAAACTCCGCGCAGGCCATCCGCGAGCAGTTCCCGCAGGGGGCCACCAGAGAAATTCTCTTCGGTGCCGCAGCCAGCAAGAAGGTTCAACAGTCGATGGATGCTGCTGCTGCCGCCCTGCTGATGGATGTGCTTGTTTAGCCGAGGCGTCTTGCGCCGTGCTGCAATGTCGAGTTCTCAGCTAAGCAGTGCCCTCTACGACTTCGCATTGAGACTGCAGGCACGCAGGGAGGCAGACATATGTAGACGATCAGATTAGTCAAGCCAGAAAGCAGGGAGTCGGATGAAGGCGGAGATGAGTGCCCAACTGAAAGGTTTCCCAGGCCGTATTCGTAAAGGGCTTCGGGATTGATTCACTTCGAGTCGATGGTCTTTCCTCGCCAGGCATCTTTCTGCTGGAAAGGTTCTCGGCAAAACATGTTGATGTTGTCTAAAATGGAAGACGGAGGGTCCAAAGGCAAGCCTGGCGCCAAGAAGAAGTTTTGCCCTCCCCCCCAACAAGTCACAGAAAAGACTGGCCCATGGTCAACCCTCGTGGACCAAGCTGTTTGTTTGTGTTTCTTTCTCAGTTCATGTCAGCCTGTGCAATGCAGCTCTGCGCGACGATATAGAAATGGGGTCCGACTGCTGCTTGTGCCAGATCTGTTCTCGTGTCAAGGTGTGGTGCTGGGTGATTGCCAGTGGTCAAACGTACTTCCAAGCCGTTCATAATTAATTCGCGAGGAAGGCCGATGCATAGCACCTTTCCATTTCACGCTTGTGGGCAGGCGAAGGAACCAGCGCAAGCTGAGGCCAGACGTCACTTCCGTGTTTCTCAGGTGCCAATAGCTCCGTTGTTTTGAGAGGCATGCTGCGCCTGTCGCACAGTCTCTCTATTGCGCAGAGACTCCATGTAGATGAACTTTTTCGGCTTGGAACCCTGTGGTGCAGCAGGTTGGCAAAGTCAACATCCTCAGCGAGCTTTGGGCTTTAGACGAAGGTCGATGTATAGTCAGCGCCAGGCGGAGCGGCGGGAGTGGGCACAGGTTATCACAGGGTACTCGGGCACTCAGAATCAGGATTGCCCAAGGCAATACTTCTTGCAGTTGCCGACAAGGCGTCCCGGAGAGGGTGGTCGCCGGCCATGGGTCAATGCTGATGCAGCAGCTTGACTGGCCTGATCTGTATTTTATTGAACGTGTGATTTCATCATGCCGCCCTCCGCGAAGCTGTTCCAATCGCGCAGTGTAAACGGTGAACCATGTCAACGCAACTTACTTCTACTGCCATGTATGATCATGGACATGTATGCCTTGGTCGTGAATGAAGGTGCCACATCAACAAATGTCAACGACGTCAGCAGAGCCATGTACACACCAGCCAGTCACGGGTGCTCTCGCAGGTCGGTAAACGCTGGGATGTCCTTGGACGATGCTCAGAGCAAGGGCCGGTGATGAGGGTTTGTCGATGTTTGTCGTGAGATGTGGTCGTCCTCAAAACTGGCAAAGCATATGCACTTATGCGAATACAATACCGCGGCGCAAGCAACAACGACAACCTTGCTTGCTCTCCACCGTGGCTGAAGGATGCACAGACAGGAAACATCGAGACATGCACTCGCGGCAAGAACAGGCGAAGCGATACCTCGCATTCGGCCTCATGCACTGACCTGCTATGTTTGCTTGACTGATGCTGGAGCTTCGCAAGCAGAAAGACTCTGACCGGGAGTCAGCTTGATGTGTACTCGCGAGAGTGGAACGCAAAAGTATCATGCGAGGAACGAAGCGTGCAGAGCTCGTCACGGTATACGAGTTGAGATCAAGTCTCAGATAAGGACATCCTTCTGGACGAGCAGGTGGCTGCACTGCGCACGACCCTGGCCGAGACACTCGGCCGAATTGCAATATTCCGACGGCATGGGAAACTTCGGAGACATAAGCCCTAAACGGGTGACATGTCGTGCGAGAGCAAAAGGATTTGGGGGAGGTGACATCAGGAAGTGCATGGACATGACTCATGAGTATGCTCCTGGAATCTCCTGGATTCGTCCAAGGTGCGCCAAGCGTCCTCTATTTGCACACGTCGCCCCAGAGATCTTGGCGCGGCCAACCTTTCTTGCTTTGGTGCGCGTGTTTGATGCCGCTAGGAGGAATGGGAGTAAAGACATTTTGACCTCAGCTCTGCCAAGACACACGAGCGATGCAAGACATGAGCTGCACACAAAGACTGTCTCTTGCTTGCAGCCGCACATCTCCAAGGTTTTCCAGCCATCTGAGGGCGAGTCAAGCACGTGCGGCGCAGACCTCAAGATTTGGGGTTTTGGGGTGCAATCCGCGGGAAGGCGCTTGGATTTGCCGCTTGGACCTAGGTCCCTACAGCCCAACGGAATTTGCTGCCATTGATGACTTTCTGGAGCAAGTGACGCGGACATCAGTCATGCGAGACTTGGCATCAAGTTTCAGGCAGTCCTGGTTGCCACATGTTGCCACACCCTGCTGGATACATCCTGCAACGCACCATGCTTGTTATTCAAGATCTTACATTCACATCGGCGGAGGTCGCGCATTCCGACACATCACGAAAACACTGCCTGTGTTGCTGACGCGGCCGTGGAAGGACAGCCTGTGTTCATCCAGGTTTGTGTAAGCTTCATGAGCTTCATTTGACACATGCACCAGCGAGCTGTACAGCGTTTCTGTGACATGCACCTAAACTCGACATTTGCTGTCACTGGATTGTGCAGGAAGTCTTGTTCAAGCTATGGTTTCAACGAAGGGATGGCAAGCCTTGCGTGTTCGAGCATGTTTTCCTTGGCACCTTCTTTGCAACTGGGGCCCCGAGGCTTCTGCTGCTTGAAGGTTCTGTCCAGTCAGTGTGCCGTTTAACGGTCAGCCCAATGGCATGTCGTCAGTACAATCAGACTTGTTCACAGTTTCCACCGACGGCCACTGTGCAGCACTGAGGTAATTTGACCGAGGACATCTCTGGTCAACCTGTAGCGGGTGGCTTCCACTGTTGGCTTAAGTTCTACCTTGAAGAGGCCCGGTATGTCCAAATAGCTCCAGCATCATGAGGCTACCCTGGAGCCTGGAAAGGTCAGAGGCACAGCACGGTATCTGGGATATATCTACAACAATGCTGAAGCGGGCCTGATGAATAGCCGGCCCCTTGTCCTTTAGCCCTGCCCCTCCCTCAGCCAACCTTAGCCGTCTGGAGGAGCCATGAGTGCAAATTTCTTCCCATCTCGGACTGAGGTTCGTTTCTGGGAAATTTGTGTGGGATTATTCTGGCTACAAGCTCGTCAAAGACCAGGGTGGGTTTTTCATTGGCACCTCTCCGGAGTGGCAGCTTGCAACGGGCACTGCAGCATACTTCGAGACTTCAACGCCAAACTTTGCGCGGCAGAATGGCTGGGTTCCTTGGACCAATGCTTATGCCTACAACGAGGGATACACGAAAGAGACGACACATGACGGCGAGCGCTACCGTCACGTTCTCTGCCGTGCCGGTAGCTCGGGCTCCACAGATGACTTGGTGGAGGACAGTGTCGAGGCTGCAGATGCACAGACCTGCCAGACCTGGCAGTTGGAGTTGCCTGGTCAACGATGAGTAAAACGATCTGAGGTGGCTTTCTCATCACTTCCTATTCAATCTATCTAGGGCCTGCCTTTCTCGACGATTCGTCTGGGCCGGATCACATCTGCACAAGCCCAGCACCCAGCCACCTACACTGTCCGTTGCGGCGCCCCACTGCTCTACTTGTGCTCCGTCCGCCGTGAAAATTTTGAAATCTTCGCTTAGGTGTGGAGTTGGCAGAATCCTTGCCGCGCTGGCTGGTGGAGGAGAGCGATTGTCATCCCTGCTGCATGGTGCCAAAAATCACAAAAACAAACCCCACGGTAATTAGAGCAAAGCCGGCGAGGGCTGACGGAAGCCAGGATGGAATCGTTGTCCACCCGGAGGATGCTTTCAGTCAGGCCGGGCGGTGTCGAGTCTGCGGCTGAATATCGCACCCACTGGCGTGCTACATTGCTACATCCCAATCCTCCGCCAAATGATTATGATTCGTGTCCTCCCTCATGCGCATCATTCCACAGATTCCACGCCTCTGCCTCCTCCCTCCCCTTGTCCTTTGCACGGTCGTCAGCAGCAGCAAGTGAGTGCCATATCAGCATCATCCCCGCACCAGCATCGTCAACACAGTCAGCGGCAGCCGTTGTGCAGCAGCCTCTACCGCTGTCAGGAGTGCGTTCGCTTCTGTGTGGCTCGGGGCTGCCGATCCGTCCGGGAGTCTTTGTCCATGCTGCGTGAGGCAGGGGACAGTTGAAAAAGAACACTCTCACGGAAGAGTGTGAAGTGTAGTGCCCGAAACGTCATGCGTCTGGCGCCCTCGCTTTGGAGGCCTTGGTCTTCGACCTGGAAGATGCCATCGCGGCAGCAAAGACACCGGGCGACATGGCAAAGTCTGATGTCCGCTCGAGGGGTCGCTGCCCGCGAGGGGTCTGTGCAACTCTTATCATGTTCCAACTTTGACACAGCCTGCTCAGGCTATCCCAGAATTACTGAGTTGGTGGAGGACACCTTTGAGGCTTGAAAACGAGACATGCCGTCTTTCTTCAGTCGATATCCTTTTTCTGCATCGCACGCAGGTCGTTCCCACCTTGCTGGTTTACGCCGAGGTGGATCTGCATTGCCTCAGCTTGTGGCATGCGCTTGCTGCGGCACTGTCAGCAAACCAACAATAAAAGCAATGTAAGATTCTGTAGGTCCTACACGCAAGAAGAAGTTTGTCCGCACTTCTTCGTAGAGCACCTGAAGTCATCTGGCGTCCTGCTGCTCCGCTGTGCTTGTGGAAGGAGCCGGGTCCTATGAGCGAAAAGCTCCCCGCACTCCTAGCAGAGCTGCGCGGGCAGGGCCGCAGAGGCCGACTTATGCCAAGCACTGTTCAGCATATTGACAAGTTATCGCCGGCTATGCCATGGGAAATGAGTGCAGCAGCTGCAATGCTGGCAGAGGACCCCGCCTCCACCGCCCGCTGCGCCTGCTGCTGACTGGAAGAGCCGAGGGGGCCCCAATCGCGGAGCTCCTGCAGCTGCTTGAGCTGGCGCAGAAAGAAGGCTTGTCCACTTGAAATCAGAGAGGTGAGGTGCTTCGGTGAACCAATCCGTCAGGTGGAGATGAAGCGGGAGTGAGGTTGGCAGATCGAGTTGCCTTGATTCGCCAGATCTTTTCCAGCCCACCGTTTTCGCACGTGCTAAACGCGGGAGCAGTGGCATTTGTCAACTAGGCAGGGAGCGGCAGGGAGCGTTTGCAAAGATTGTGAACGCGACTCCGCCAATGCGAACTGTCAGCTCTCAGACATGCCATGCATGGCCATCTCGAAAAGCATTGTAGTTAATGCCGAAGCATTCTTTCGTCGCTGCTTTGGGTCCTGGGTTGGTGCAACAGAGGCCCCGCATGATCCAGGGGGACTTCCGGGGGGATTGCTGACTGGAGCATGGATGGTATAGATACATGCTCATGCGTATTTGTACATGTTACATGTAGTTACTGTAGTTTCTATGTCACTGTTCATCTGGTGCTCGTGGTGGTAAAGCAGGTGGAGCGGAAGGAGTAAGTCTTAGGTAAACCAAAGTCCAACAAAACAAGGTCATTAACCGAAGCATCCCAAAATACATGAACAAACGGTAAACTTGTCCTGGCTGGTTGGTTAATTCGTCGTCGTCGTCCGTATGGTCCCGTAATGCTTCAGATCATGATTGGGGGTGTGCCACTTGCAGAAAGAAGTAGTCGCAATGATGAGAAGAGCGACACGCATAGTCACGAAGAGCGGCTCCTTGTCTTGGAGGTCGAATTTCGGGGCTTGACCAGCTTTGCGGATGCCTTCACGTTTGGTTCCGAAGAGTCGCTGCTTTCCGTCAGCACTTGCTTCTTAACGCGTAACGATAACTTCAGTTTTGTTATTTCGCTGATGGCCAAGCTTGTCTATAGGTCTCGTGCGCGGCTGAGGCGCGCAACCTCCAGGTTAGCAGCGGTCTAACCTTGCACGGCGCGATTCGGTGTCGCTTGACGATGCAGGTGAACTGCCTCACTCATCATGTGACTTTTCCATGTGTACTGGTTGTGCTGCACTGCAAGACTCGACAACTTCGACGACTAGCAACTCAGCGCATTGTTAGCAAGCGGAATCTGCTTAGGTTAGCCTGTGAGTATTTACCTCAAAAGGCTAGCTTTGTGCATAAATGACCTTGGAGGTTTTGGCAATGTTTCTGCCCTTACATTCCAACGTCGTGATAAGCACATGTGTGGTGTACGTGAATAAGAGGAGGACTCAATGATACGAGCTAGTCAGCCGACGCTGCTGAAACTGACACTTTGCCTAGTGTAGCGCGAATACTCCCACGCTAGAATATGCTAGAATCACCATGATCACCATGTACGTCATGATGATGGTGATGATGATGATCATCATCATGGGCTTCTTCGATTCGCAACATCTGCCTTCGGACGCCTTGCGAGGCTTAAGGCAAGCCAATTCTTGGCCCGGCACCCGTTATAAGGGACGCCGTACGTTTAGTATCGTTTAGTGTCACTATTCAATACACCATTCTTCTTCTCTGCATGGCTACTGCCCCCCTGGCAGTGCAATCATCGCCATCTTCGCCTGCACTTCGGACCAACACATCTAGTTGTCGCCAACATCATGATACTCTTCGGCTTCAGCGTTGCCGCCACATGGTCGCAACTATCGCTATCCCCGCCATCATCACCAGCATCAGGAGCAACAGAGGCACTGGCATCGCGTCCATCATCATCATCATCATCTTAATCATAATCATCATCCTAGTCCTCCTTTTCCTCCGCGTCGTCATCGTCATCAAATCATCAGTATCATCACCATGATGATCATTATCGCCATCATCATCATCGTCATCATCATCATCATCATCGTGACAGCTCAACATCAGCACCATTCTTCCCACAACCAGCGCAAGAGTCACGGTCATGAGCATGCTCACCAGCTATAGTAAATACACGCGAGCCCAATGACACAGAGTCGTGGGACCGCCTGCTGTCAGCGGGCCTGGAATCTCTTCTAGCTTTGCAGTTGAGATTTGCCTGACACTTGTCGGGGTCCTGAAGAAGGCGGCAGGGGCGAAAAGAGAGACTGGAAGGATGTGGGCTCAGCACACAGCAATCGGGGTGCCCTGGAAGCTTTCACTCACCCGAGCCTTTTGCCACGCACGAAAATCTGATTCAGTCCCGGAGTGGTGGCCTGGAAAGCTTCTTCTTCTTCTGAAGCTCAGACAGTTAAGGCTTGGCGGTCTGAGCCTTCAGCAAGTAAGAAATTTATGTCATAGGGAGGCGATTGCCTGGGCAATGCCATTTGACGGTGGAGGTCGGGGAGTTTAATTGATCTGGTATCTGTAGTTAACCCCCAGACCCTGAGGCCCTAAGGCGCAGGATCTTCTGCCTGTCCCCAGAGAGCTGAAGACAGTTTTCGTAAAGCATGAGTCTGGCCACGATGTCAAGTCCCTTGGGCCCTGTCGTATTCGGATTCCGATCTACTCCCAGTAGAGATTCCTTGGTCGGCAAATCCACCTTCATCAGTCAAGGCTGCCTTAACCTTGTACTTCAAAGCTTTCATCGAAAAAGTGCTTCTGCCAGGAATCGAGGAGGCCCGGCAGCTGCAGGCGGAAGCAGAGCGCACAGCCAAGCTGGCGCAGCGGGAGCCCGTGCACTCACGTTGATGATCTTGTCCGTGCTCTGGAGGGCTGCTCCAAGTCAGGATGTCTTTCAAACCCAGATCTCGTGCACTAGTAGATTCAATAGCCGGTATTGGTAGCCATCATCGCAAAATCAACTATTTTGCTGAAGCAAGCCCGCAGTATCGAGAATTCTGCGTCTGATGCGATTTGCAGATTGCAGCGAGGGATGTCAGACGTCACAGACTAGATGGTGGTGGTGTGTGTATAATATGTCGTCGGTGCAGTCGTCTCAAGAGCATCATTGACCGCAGGACCTAGTTACCTCGTTGTACCTCCAAGCTTTGAAGTAGGGCCGATGTTTCAGAGCGCCGACCAAAATTTTGATGCGGTTTCCGAAGATGGTGTGAGAGAAGGCTGTGATGGTTCCAAATCCCCCTGAGCATTCACACACAAGCACAAGATCAGGCATCTCAAGACATCCTGTATTCCGTCTGGGACGCCGGCTGATCCTGAAAGCCTATAAGCCCTAAGCATCCATGCTTTCGAGCAAAGCTTGCGGAAGTTCTTAAAGTCTTAGGACGCTCCAAAATCCTGAAGCCTCCTAAACCTTCAGCACCTGAACACATCTCCACACCCTGAGTGATGAAGCCCTGCACTGGAGACCACAGGACGCGCGGGAGGCCCGGCAAGAACGAGACAAGGCCATCCAGCAGCGGAAGGAAGCCGAGGCCGGCTAAACAGAAGGACGCCGAAGGAATCGAACCAAATCAAGGACAGAGAAATCAGTATAATTCAGTGAAATGAGATTGATGGACTCATAATCGGCACTACAAGTGGTGGTGACTTCAGTAAGGACAGTCTCTAGAATGCGAGTATATTGAGTGACAGCAACGATAACAAGGCAATGACGAAGCACTGACCCAACTCCTTCCTGTGCCCCCTCAACTGTGTAATGCCGATAACCTGACGGACACAGCTTTCGAGTTCATTGGGAGCCTTGCCTTTTCGTTTCCGTGTGCAGGAAGCCAAGCGCGTAGCCGAGGCTGCGGGAAGCACTTGCATGTCACCTCGTTTTCAATTCGCTTTCCGTGACTTCGAGATATGTACGAAGCTAGTCTTCTGGATGCTCAGCTCGCTTCGTGGGTTGTCTGCGAAAGCTGGTACAGACACTGCTTCACATGATTCTGTACCACCTGGGGTGCTTGCTATAGGAAGAGCGCGATGCAGCGCGAAAAGCTCAAGAAGATGCGGAAGCTTCCGAAGCTTACGCCGGGTGCTTGGCTGCTGTTGTGCACGTCTACTTGCGTGAGCCGCGCATAGGAGCCCAGGGACTGAGGGCATCTGCATGAGATTCAGGCCAAGCAACAAGCAGACGTCTTCCAACAGGTGGGTTTCTATGTAGCTTCGGCTTTTGCTGCTTGCTTGAGCCTGCGGCCAGGCGAGGATAAAAGCAGAGATGAGGCAAAGGAAGGCCGAAGAGCAGGCACTGAGTATTCGGACGTGAGTCAGCACCCCAAGCCCGTGTTGAAATCAGAAGTTTCTGTGCCAGATTTCGCAACATCCGTTGATTTCAGTTGCTTGTGCAGACTTTTGGAGGTCAGGAAAAAGCAGAGGAAAGTCCAGAGTTTGCAACGTATGCTCGCAGAAATTGGTGTGGCGCTCAGCATTTCGGGGTGCAAGCTTTCGAGCTGCTTCCTCACAGTTTCGCTGTCTGCTGCCGGCGTTCTGACGAAGCCTTGGAAAAAGGAGCTGAGAGCGACAGCGATGCACCTCCAGATGAGAGAGCACCTGCCTTCTTCGTCAATGAGGATGGAACGAAGGCGCTCGGCACTTTACATGATGCTGACAGCCTTGCAGTTTGAGAGGCAGGCTAAGTTGTTGCCGTTGTTAGCCGATTTCAGGTGCCGCGGCCAAGGACAAGAAAGGAGCGGATGGGCCTGGAGCTAAGGGCCTAAAAGAGGAGCTGGAAAGCTCGGCTTGGCACGAGGTGTCAAGGGTTAGGCCAAAATTTCTTACACTGTCCTACACCCTCTCGGTTCGAGCCAGTCGAGGCATGGCCTTCAGGGAAGCCGAATCCGCTCGCTACGAGCTGCGGCTGGGCATGGCTCGGGGTCCCTGTTCTGTATCCCGCCGTCCAGGTTCGGTTTTTAGGCGGGCTATCTTGAGGTTAGGGTGTCTGATGAGACTGGGGGTCTGTCATCCGTTCTCTGCTTGACAACCCCATCTCGTTCAAGATGATGCTTGCCGATCCCATGCGGAGATCTTCCTGAACACCGCCGTTTCTTTCCCTCTTTGGCTCAAGTTACGTTCTCCGCCTATATTGAAGCGCGGCCAAAGGCTGCCTAGAGCGGGAAGTACCCGTAGAAAACACTCAGGCTACAGGTTTCATCCCTGAATTCCCAATGTGTGCAAGGAAGCTTTGTACGAAGTCCTTTCGGGTACTTCCACAGCAGTTGTGAGTTCATTGAGCTCAGTCAGTCGCAGTCGATTGCCAGGCTCTCAAACATCTGCACTTGCTCTAGCCCTAGCAGTGCAGTGCAAGCATCTGCGAAGCAGCTTCACTCAGGTCGCAGTGCCTCTTCCCGTGACTTTGTCGCCATGGCGGCGACCTGGCCAATAATTCTGTATGAAGAAGTGCTGCCGGTGACCACTGCGAGTCGTGGAAAGAGCGAGGTGACCTTCGTGAGTTTGCTCCTCCTTTTCCTGGTCGAGGGGCAGGGGCTGAAATTTTCTGACAAGCAGGACCGCGGCAGCTGGATGTTGCTTTGAGGAGTCAGCACAACCGCCTAGCCTGGGCATAGAATTGATGGACACTGCACGTAGGGAACCCTCTCACTGGAGTGCCGGTTGTGAGTAAAGGCGACGGAGAAACACGACCTTTCTCTGCTCCTGCCCTGTGGCGAGGACTTCGACTACGACCATTTGCAAAAGAGTCTCTTGTATGCAGTTTGACGACACGCCGTTCGGTTTGGATGTGGCTGAAAAGCTTCTGCTTCGTGCATGGTAAGGCATTGTACGTATCGAAACGGTCGGAGCAAGCTTCGACTGGCGCGGCGCCCGGGAAGCTTTCCTCAACTCCGAACTGTCATCGTGTGTGTGTGTGTGTTGCATACTGGTGTCCACCGACTATAGATTAGCGATGGCGGTACCAGTACTAGTCCTACCACTGGTACTTGTAGTCTCTGCTGTACAGACCTTGTGCATAGTTCGTGCTTTGGCAGCTCCGAGGTTTCGGCCCTTCAACCCAAGAGACGGCCTCGTAAGCCTTGGAAGTGGCTTCATCGCAGCCGCCCTGGGGGCGTTGGGGGCTTTCGGGGCTGAGCTGGTTTTGTACTTTAACGGCGTGAGCTTCAAGGTCCAAACGGAGCCGTATATCCTGATTGCTACGAACCAGCATGTGGCTCGGTGGCACTGGAGCTTCGGACTGCCTGTTTGGGAGATTGGTGTGTCTGAGAGCGGCAGTGCCAGGTCATCAATGATGCCTTGCGAGTGCAGATTCAGCTGCTACTTCACAGCCAGCGCCCCTGACGCTTCCGGCAAGAGCTGCTCTTCTTTCATGACTCATGATGCAGCAGAAGCAGGTCAGGCGAAGTGGGACGTCAACATCGTGTCTGCATGCTGCAGCCCCTGTCAATGCAAGCTTGAAGTCGAAGAACGCGTTCAGCCTTTGCACTCTTTGCCTTTGCGGCTTCGATGTGTCAGGTCCCAAGTTTGATCTCGCTCTGCTCACCCTCAAGTCCGACAAGGCGCTGCCAACTGCGAGAAGCACCGGCCGTGCATGCTGCACTGTAACAATACAAAGAGCGAAAGGCTTTCAGGGTCGATTGAAGCCAAATTGAAGCCTAAAACCCGAATTTCGCACATACTGCCTACATGAGCTCGAGTCCCCCAGGCTTTGGTGTTGTTTTGGGGCGAAAGAACAACCTGCTAACATCGAGAAGAGCAAAATAAGAAATCGACAACCCGAGATCAGGGTTTTTCGGTGACAAGAACTCAGAACGGGCTCAGTTTCTTAAATCCGCGTTGTTCTAAAGCAGTGCTGACGCTGTAGGAACTGTAGTATATACATAGTAGAAGTATAGTGCTGTTGCTGTTGCCATTGTTGCTTTTGCTGTTGTTATGGTGATGGTGGTGGCGGTGTTGTCGTAGTCATAGTAGTTTTAGTCGTCGTCGTGGAAGTAGTCGTATTCTCAATCGTAATTTAGCGCTACGCCGCCCGCCGGAGAGCAGCACTGTGACATAACCCGATAAAGTGGTAGTGGTGGTGGTAGTCACCGTAGTAGTAGTACTCGTCGCAGTTGTAGATCACCCCTTCGATTGCGAGTGCATTTACCTTGCCTGTGGCAGGAGTTCAAAGCCGACCTGGCCAAGGCAGGGATCCAACTGGAGGCCTTGACCTTGCCTTGGACTCAGTCGTGCAGACCAAGTCAATTGATTGACGGCCACAAGAGGGCCCTTACACAGGGCGTGCTCGTTGAGCAGAAGTGCGCAGTACTTGTTTCTTAGCAGGGCTTCAGTTATTGCTGAGTTCAGCCAGACGGGCTTGGCTTCTCGTCTGAAATTGTGAGCAAACAGCAACTCTCAGTTGCCAAGGTCAAAGAAGGTCGCTGAAATGGGTCAGGATGTGGTGGCTTTGGGCTTCCCCCTTGGCCAAAATTCCTTGAAGATTTCGAAAGGCCAGGACGGCTTCAGATAGAGATCCAGTCATGATTACCGCTGCCTAAGCCGCTGGAAGCCATTATCGGCCTGGCCACCAAATCGTCTACGCTTCAAAGTGCTTGGGTCTCAATGTTCAACAAGCACAAGTCGCGCTCCAGCCCGGCAAAAGTAAAGCTTCTTGGGATCAGGGATACGTGACAGCGTTACACATTCCCCCTGCGGCCCTCCAAGCCAGCCGGTGTTTTCTAGTTTTTCGGCAGCATGCTCCGAATCTCCTCTTGAGTTGTCGGATGATGTTTGCCATCATCTTGACATCCTAGGTACATGCGTAAGACCGCGGTCGTTTCCACACTCTGTAGGCAACGTGGCTGGAAATGAGTTCGTCAACAGCAACCTTTGCATCCAGCCTCTGCCCCAGAATTGAAACAGGGGTTTTTCTGCAGGTGTCGACACGGATCGAAAAGCAATCCTGTTTCGATTATTGTCAGGTCCACAGCACCAATTTCGCCAGGAAACAGCCAGCCTCCTAGAAGCACGCTCTCGCGCATTTTGTGCAGCACATTGGTACAAACAGACACTACGTTGTAAACACACTACGGCGTAGGGCGGTTGTAGCCCCGTTGCTTGTGAGATCGCGTGGGTTAATGGGCAGCAATAATCAGGTGGCGGCCCTCTCTTGGATGATGCTGGTTCAGAGGCACAGAACTGCGGATGGAAGGGCCTTTGGTCGGGGCTGTGGATTCACTCTCAAGCTCCAATCGCGCGGGCGCTACTCCGCAGGTCCTTGGTGTGAACTTTGCAGGCGCTACTCGAGGTGTCGGGCTAAACTCGGAATCGCCTTGGGAGACCACATCTCGACTCCAATGACCTGAGGTGAGAACATCAATTACGTGATCCCTGCCTTCCGGGTTCAGGCAGTCCTGACTCCTGCCAGATTTGTGCTGTTTGCAGCCCAAAATGCCAGGCTCTCGTCAACCTGCACCTGAAGGCTCCGACACGTTGATACATGTTGATACCTTCCATGCATCATCGGCACCGGTGCCAGCTCGTGTGGGGATTCGTCTGACAGGCACTGCATTAGTTTTACTTGTAACCATCAGTGATGACTCATGGCTACAAATGTCTGTCACCAGTCCTGTATTCGGGTCCAGAGCCGTGCAAGCTTCAGGTGTAAAGAGCGCGGAAATATTTTCAGATGGGCCGTGCTTGGTAGGATTGCTGTTTGTGTCTTTCGCAGGCCTCCGAGCTTTGGTAGCATGGTCCGAAGTTTTCCCTGACTACTTGGACTCTAAGATTGCGGTCAGGTCATGGTTCCAAACAGGCGGCCCAGGAAAGCTGTGCCTGAAAACTCTGGCTGGTTGCTTTCAGGAGCAGCATGGAGCTCCTTGGCGTCGCTTGGGCTGCTGCCTTACTTGGGCTTGGCTGTAATTGCGAGAGAAACAAACTTGTCAGAGCCGGCTGAGAAGTGTCTTAGTCAGTTTGGTATGGCTGCCAGGGGCGAAGGAAGTGTGCGGCATTCTGATTCGTGCGGCTCCAGCCGAAAATCGAGGTTTTCGAACACCTGGACACGGCCTTACCGCAGTACATCCGAACCAGGCCTGTCGCTGCGAAGCTCTCACAAACGGGTGGCCTTCTCTTGGGCACTGAGAGGCCCTGTACAACTTTACTTCGGGCTGCGAGGACCGCAACCACTGAACGGGCAACCTAACCTGACCTGCGAAATATCTAGTGAGTTCCCATCGTGTCGGAATGCAGTGCAGTACGCAAGCTTCCTGAGGAGGGTGTGTACATCGGCCGCGTTCGGCAGGATGGCTTCATGAGCAAGGTCCGGGCCCCATGCCTCCACAGCTGAAAGTCGGGAAACCCGTCATCTCGTCGACTCCGGATCTTAGGCACAGCCCGAAATCCGGCCAGGCAGCATGCTGGTAGCAGCGAAGTTCTTAGTTTGTCGCGCTCTGTGCGAAACCATAGAATGCTGTGTGACAGCAAGCTACCAGTAACAGCCAGAAGCAGAGGTCAACGGGAAGGCCCTGGATGGGTTTGGCAAAGCCGACATCAAGGAGCTCATGTTGGGCAAGGAGCGCAGCAAGTGCATGTCCCGCTCTGTATTGTGCTCTTGTGCATTGCTCGAAGCCGATCAGGCTGCCTTGGACGACCTCTTCTTCATCCAGCCAGACTTGGAAGCGGAGGCCGTCGCATGTTTCAGCTTGTTGATGGTTGTCGTCAATCTCTCTACGAAGGTGTCTTTCGAGACTTGCTTCAGGGGCACGAAGCGTCTTCACAAGGCCGGCTTTCAGCGCTTGCCCTTAGACTATTAGTCAATGTGCCAGATACATTATACAGGTGAGCACCATCAGGACCGCTGATTTCGACAAGGCGAGGACACTTGCATAGGTGCAGAACACCTCTGCCTGGTGCGTGGTGCAAACTCCAGGGCATCAGGTACGTCGACGAGCCAGTGACCGAGGGGCTGACACAGCAGTATGCCGGGCGCTCGGGTGTTTTTTTGCAGGTGTGCAGCTGTGCTTGCTTCACCAACGGTCTGTAGTCCGACACGCTACCATCGCCAGGAAATCTTTGGCGACATCGGCGCCCTTTGACAGCAGCACTGGAAAGGGTGGCGTCCCGTCAAGGATCGTTCCACATAAACTATTCTTACCCAGCTGAGGTCATGTCAATGACCCAGAATCATGTTGGGGAGGCAAAGCGGTGAGAGCCGCACGGAGTCTCCCAGGGTATCCTAGGGTCCCAGCGGTCCCATCCCAGCGCGGGCTCGCGAGGCCTTGGCCAGGACTGGCTCTCCACGCATTTCTCGCTGGCTTCTCCCAGACAAAGCCTCCGAGCCAAGGCTCATGTCACTGGCCCAGCAAGGCCTCGGCACCCTGGGCAGTGTTGCATTTCCATTTCTTCTGAGGGTCATCTATGTTCGGCCTGGAAGCTATGCAAGCGCAGCTTTGAAGCAGAGATCGCTTGCTCGTGACGGAAATCCCGAGTCTGCAAAACTTTCACTGCAAAAGTGCAAGGAAGTCATCGGAGAGGGCTCTGCCGTGGAGAAGGCGCAGAGCCTACGAATGTTCTTAGAGTTTCGAGAGGACTTCTGTAGCTCCGATGGTGTCATGGCTTCAGCCTGTTCAGCGACACAGCGATCCTCGGCTCGACAGCTTGTAGGGTGCAGAAGTAGAGGAAGGAAGCGGTCCAGCTCGACAGGCATCCATAGGCATCCCTTTCCAGTCTTCTCATTGACATATTTGCAGAGACAGAGGTAGGAGTCCAGAATCCGGCAGCACGGCCTTGACATGGGGGTGTCCAAAAGACGTCGCAGTGATCTTTGCGATGCTGGCCTCTGCGGTGCTGGTCACCGGCCTTCCCGGGTGTGGAAAAACCACGCTGCTGCGGGAGCTGCTTTCAGATGGCACAATGCGTGCTGCCGACGCTTTGAAGCAAAGAAGCGACTCTCGAGCTGCCGCACGAGCTGCCGCACGAGATCCCCAAGCGCCTTGAGAGGTTTGCATTCATCGCCATGCACGTGCCTTTGGTCTGGTCAGCAGCTCAGCAGCTCAGTTCTGGACCAACAGTGACTGCCATAGTGAGCCATAGTGCCAAAGGGGAGTGGCAGGCACACCTGCTCTTCACCGTGATCTCTCGTTAGACGAGCTAGACCTGGTACAGCGCACCCAGTCACTTGGCGCGGGTTCAGGAGACGTCGCCGCTGGCAGAGGGCACGCTGCGTGGACCCTACTATCAGACTTCCAAAAAGCAGAATTCGACGAGCCTTCCTGGCATCCTTCAACTTTGGGTCCCTGAAGGCCTTGCGTGCACTACTCGGAAGTTTTCGACTTCGGTTCAGGACCTGTCCCCAGATTTCTTTGATTGTGTGTTGACGGCAGTGCCACATCCTCGGGAAGTGAAGGATGCCTCTGCTGCTCTCCGGACGGAGACCTGTCTCGATTGCTGAAGGACCTGTGCTCCCGGCAATCAGAGCCACTTGACTTGACTAGGCAGCAAAGCGGTAGCCAGGACTCGCCGTCGGGAAGTGTTGGAACACTGCTGTTCACTCAGGTTAAAGTTGACTCATCTGTTCATAGTTTCCTGGCTGCATGGCCACAGCCCTCTGTGACGCCAGTATGGTTGGCTGTTGCTTCAGGAGACAACCGGTGTGGCAGATCCTCAGCCCTTCGTCCGAGTGTTCGAAAACGCCACTCCACAGCACAAAGCCTGCCAGTGAGAGCTCGACCGAGCCTTACATCTGTCCTAGGAGCACTTTGCGCAGTACTTTGCACTCAAAGCGGTTATTTGCGTTGTGGACCTGCAGCGCGTTCGGAATATCCTGAACGAGCCAAAGGAGACGTTCGGGTGATCCTCATCATGTCAACGTGTTGCACGTCTCCAAGTCGAGTGCAGTGAGCACCTTCAAAAACTCTGTAGACGCTGGAACGCCCTGTTGCACGGTAGTGTTTGCAGTCCCCGCAGTCTACGGAGATAGTAGAGTCAGAAACATCACAGCATGCACACAGTCTTGTACTTTCCCATGCAGGATGCAGGCTCTCCAGGCGCAGGACCTCAGCTCCAGCATGGCATGCACGGCGAAGAGCTGCACTGAGCTGGTTATGCAGTGAAGCGAAGCAAGCGTTGTGGGGACCTAGCGTGCCGCGAAGCCAGCATCAAGCTCCGCCCCGCCAACCTAGACCTATTCTTCTGCAGGATCTAGAGGCGTTGCCCAACTTAAATGCGCCGACATGCTCGTCCTCAACCATTTGGACGAGCTTCAACAGTTCTTTGGCAGCTTTAGGTTCTGCTGAGGTACACAGCAGCATCAAAGTGTATTTTAGCAAACGCAGGTCAGTGTCACAGCCTAGCTGCGACTTCTCTGACGCGAGGCATGAGCGAGAGCCCAAAGAGACTCAAGCTTGTGGAGTCCGAGATCTGCTGTTGCGGTACTCTGATGACAGCCATGCTCCAGAAGTTCTGGGGCCTTGCAGTTTTTGCAAGCTGGGGACTCTTGTCTGCCTTTATTTACCGGCCACAGCAGCTGATGCACTTCTTGAGGAATCCTTCCAGAATCATTGGGAGTGTGCAAGACTGTACCCGAGGCATCAGGGATTGGCGGCAGTCAACGCAGTTTCTCGATGTCGAGGGCCTTCCGAGGTGCTGCAGGGTTGCGGGACCATTCGGGGATGTTTGAGAGGGAATGCTTGGTGCTATGATGGCGATTCTCAAATCTCAATGTTCCTCGACAGGCCGTCAAACTTGGGACAGAGACTTAAAGTTGGGCCCTCCAGGACCAAATCTTCGAAGCAAGTCCCAGTTTAAGGTTCGGGGGGATGAATGGGTTTGAGTCTGGTGCTCTGTTCTACCAGCTAGGTCGGATGATTATAGGGCAGCTTGATTTCATGCAATGCCATTCAAGATCTTCGAGCATGGTGAAAGCTACGACCCTGAGGTGGCGAACTCTGCTGCCCTGCCGCCTTCGAATTTCATGCAGCTCAGAGCAAAATTTGGCTTTGCCGGCTCTGTGCCAACAGATCTGAAAAGCTGGCATCAGTGCCCGGATCATAAGACGACTGAGCCATGAGAGCAGGTTGAAAAGTGCACAGCCTAAGTGCATTGCACTGTGTTCCGAGGTTGCGCTTCGGGCCCGGCCCTGGGCATGATGCCGCCTGCAGCACTGCCTGCCTCGTGAGACCGAGGCTACGGCTACATGTAACTTGTCGCTGAATCGTCCTTGGTCCATGGTGCTTCGGTGCCTTGCCTGCGTCAGGGCTTGGAAGTTATGTAGGGGTCCTGTCGCAGGGGCGGCGTCTGCCTTGATGCCGCCTTGGCCATGCTGCAGCTCCTCTTGGACTCGGGGCAGGTGCGAGCCGACTAGCTTTCTCAACGTTACCAGTGTTGCTCTCGTCTCTTGTTCTGGCTGTCTAAATTCACCCGGGGCCCTTAAGCCACACTGTGCGCGCTGAATGACCATGCATTGTCGTCAATCGTTGGTGCCAAGATTTGGGTATAGATAGATATATTTAGATGTTTTAGACTCGTCCATATTCGTACAGAATCTCCATAGTTCTGATCACTATCGCTGTTGCAATCGCTCAATGCTGAAGAGGCCTATCGCATTCAGGGCTATCTGTCCTTCCTGCCCAAGGAGCTCGAACCAAGTCTGAGGTCTGGCAGCCGCAGTTTGTCCGTGTTGGGGGGGCCGGGGGGGGGGGGGGCGTGTCTACCCCTCTGTGCTCGAAACAAGGACTGAGCAAGCCTCTGCTTCCAGTTTTCCGCCGCCACTGGAAAGACTCTGGGCGCTTCCCATGGTCGTTGTGGAAGGCTTGTGTCTGAGGGCCGAATAGTGGCCGTGGCCTGTAGCAAGCACTGGCAGATGTGAACTCCGGAAGGACTGGTGCCAATGAATTGCGCAACTTGAGCAAGAGTGCCGCAAAGTCTTTTGAGAGTAAGTTGTCACAGCAAGCTTTGTTAGGCATCTACCGAGGGCAGCTCCGAATCCGGGCGGTGACCACCGTGGCAGCCCCTGGCAGTGCGCTGGAAGCTGCAGAGCGCTCCAACACCCCGTGGCAGGTCGTCGGTTTAGGGTTCCTAAGTAGCGGGCTTGGAGTTTGAAGGTAACTCCAAGCAAGGGCTTTCCGTGCATAGGGGTTTTGCTCCTAACGAGTCGGAAGGAAACTGCCTTCGACGCAGCAGCTGCTGCATCTTGGCCATGTTCAGCAGACCATCCTACCCGTTACTCTCGAGCCTCCGTGCTGCTCCTAAGAGCAACACTGGGCCCTAAAAAAACTGAGAAGCTTGTTTTCGACTTGAAGGTCTACAGCGCTGATCGGCTGAGTCAAACCGTCTAAATCGGGCGGTAAAGAAGAGCGTGAAACCCCGAATGGGAGAGAGGATGTCCAAGTTTCCAACGCCAGCTGCTAAAGGTTTCCACCTGCAGTTAGCGCTATTGCAACTTAGGACCGTGGCGGCTGCAAAATTTTTCTGTGTGGTGCTGCACTGGATGAGACTACTTTGAAGCTCTGGCCGCAATGTCTCGTCTCCATTAGTGCTTCGTCTTTTGTGCCTACCACTGCGCAAGGAGGGCTCAGCTGCAACAGTGTGCCCAACATGGCTTTGATGGCCCGGACGCTTGGCTGATAATTAGTTTGGACCTCTCCATTGGACGTGTACAGGTTCTTCATACAGCTGAATAGACTATAGTTCACAGAAACCCAAGCTTGCTTTGCCAGTAGTATCAGGTCTGCAATTTGTCAGAGGCTTGGCCGGATGCTGCCCGGGCGACTCGGATACTGAGGATAGCTGTGCGGTTTTCTGAGTCTAGATCGAATTCGCTGAGGCCATCGACGATATTGAGCAGTCCGTCGCAGCAGCTCTTCGCCGTGGCGTCGGTCCACTCGATTGGCAAGGCAAGACTCCAAGAATTCGCGTCGCTTTTGCACATTGACTCTTGCTGTCATGCAGCGATACAAATTATCAAAGCAGTCGTTAGTCACCGTGATCGCCTAAGGCTGCGGTGCACGTTCTAGCATCGGATATGGTTGTGGAGTTGCAAGAGCATCGGATGTGTGATTTGCAATGCCCTGCTCGCATGTGAAAGACTTTGTCAGCAAGATAAGATATGTTATCGGATAAGCTTTAAGGTGTTTGAGTTTGAGGGACTTAAGCCTTAAGCCTCCACCAGGGCGCTCCGCCTCCGCGGCCCCTACCGGCGACAGCCGCTCTTTGGCAGAGGTCTTCGCAGTCAGATACGCGAGAAGCTTGCACGCGGCTCGGGCAGAGCGTCCGGAGATCTCTGGCAGCGAGCCCCGCGAGCTGCGCTGCATGGGGCACCGTCGACCAGGGCGGCGGTGCCAAGCATCAGAGGCCGTGGAGGCGGGAGGTCCGGGGTAGGGCTGCATGCAATTGTTTGACCCGTACAAGTGTTGCTGGCTGATGAGTTTTTACCAAAAGGTCAGTTGGAACAGAGCCACCGGCAAGACCAAAGCACCTGACAGCTGCAATCAGATCTTTTTCTCGGGCGAAGGATTATTGATGTATTGGCTCTCTTTTCCGATGTTAGTAAGGTGCTTGCCGCTGGGTCGATGCCCGTTGTTGCACAGGAGACCGCATTTCCCATGGTTGACTCACACTGCGCAGGTCTACAAGTATCAGAACAAGAATTCGAATAGACACGTATGTATGCATGTCAGTGTATGTATGTAGCACTACATGCGCATGCCTATCTATACAAAAGTATATATATATATATGTATGTATATATAGGTAATGCGTACTTATGTGTGTGCGAGATGTGTGTGTGTGTGTATTTGTGTGGGCCCGTGCGCGAGTGTTTGCTCAGCATGTGACACATGCAGTAGTTACATCGTCGTCTCGACATGCAATGCATGCGAGCAGGACCAGACTGGTTATGGCGGCCTTCGCTTCTGCACGGCCTCGGCGTCCTCCTACCACACCCTCGTGCTGGGCAGCCCTTTGTTGGCAGTGAGATCTGAGAGGATCTGGCTGCTCCGTGTTGCCGCACCAATGAGTTCTCTGCCATCGTGCGTCTTGGTCTCTAGATCTCTAGACTCTAGACGCAGTGGATCCGCTTCTTGCAAGACGATTGCTTGGTCAGATGGATCCAAAAGTCCAAACCTTGATTGTGTTGTGAGGTGAAGTCTTCTGCAAGCTCCCGGCCTGAGCTCAGCGCTGCCTCCTTGCGCGCGGAAAAAGACTCGATGCCCCGTTTGCCTTCACAGCGCCAGACGGGGACACCGTCCGCACAACATGCCAGTTTCTGCGAAGCATCCTGTCTTCGTGAGAGGTAAACGGCAAAGTCGTCCGAACGTTGGAGGAGCCTGTTCAAGCAGCTTCAGTCTTTCCCGTCCGCCGTCATCTGTTGATCTGCTGGCTCTACTGGCGAGGACTTCCGAAAAGCTGTTGTTCCGGACACAGAAGATGACATCTGGACGCTCGAAACTGACTTGGGGCTGCTCTTGGCCATGCCTTTCAAGGCCCACGTCTGCATCCGTAAAATTACGTCGAAGCTGCAGAATACCTTCGCCTTCATGCTTCCTCCCACGATGCACTTATCGAAATTTATGCTGTTGACGGCTTGACTGTGGTTGCATTGCTATGAGGCAACCCTGTCTGCTCAGCTTGTGAGTGGGGCCGCAGAGCCTTACCTCCTCACACCGGGCATCAAGCAGGCAAGGGCTGGCCTTGATGAAGCCGTGAATGTGTGGATACGAGACCCAGCAGCAAGCTCGCTGTAATCTTCTGCCGATTCAGGCGATGTTTCGTCACGAGCAAGCGGTCGTTCATCTTATTGTGTGGCAGCTTCTGCTGGCCGCAGCTGTTCTATACCAAACTCATGGGCAAGCGAGCCGCATCTAAGAGATTTTTATACGCAAGACTGGACCAGAGCATCGTTGCGAGACATGCTCGCCATTCGAGAAAAGTAGGTCCTTGACCATCATGCTCGCACAAAGGCTTCTGATCGCGGGAACGGCTATAAATGCATCCAATAGCACCACCAGCTCACACAGGTCAAAGCAAGTTATTTCCATCGCTGCCTCAAGCGATGCGGGCCTTCGATGCATAGGATTGCGCCGATAATGGAGGACGAACCACGACCTCCTGCTGTCGAGGCCGACGCCGAACCGGGTGTGTTTGTTCCATCTGTGTACCTATGTATATATAGGTGCATAGTACACGCCCCATACAAAAGAACACGTTTGTACATAGACTACCCCCACACATCCATCCATTCATCCATCCATCCATAGATGCACAAGCAATGTAATGCAGTAAAGACGTAACGCGACGGCAATCGTAACACATACAGCTTCAGCCCTGATATGTGCGTATAAACACAAGGTCAAGCTGTCAGGCTTAATATGTGCGTGTACGTGCATGCTCTCACAAACGCGCTTCTGCGCTCTTCTGTTTCTTTGCCTTTCTGCCCTGTTTACCTTGCGCCCTGCTGACTTTCGACAGTTCAACCTTGTGCAGTACTTATGACGAATTAACATTAGCATGTGAACAAGCAGGCTTCATATGCATATATACGCATTGAAGGACCGCATGCATGCATACATGCATCTGTACCTGTACGTGAATATGTATATATATATATATATATACATATATATATATATATAATATGTGCCCGATACCTTTAGGGTCTATATAACCGCGGTTTGTTGTCTTCAGCACATAATGGAAAGCAAAATGTAAGGTATAAGCACAGCCCACATTGCAAAGCCACGACCTGAAAAGTTTCGGATCGACTAGGCTATATTTTTCTATCAAGTAATTATAGCAAATTACTCGCATTCAGGGAAACGAGTATTATATAAACAGAACATCGAGTGTTGATCCCAACACTGTCGATGAACAAACATTCGTTGTGATGACACATTTCAGTGTATAGAGTCCATACATCTTGCAGGAATGATGTATCGTCGTGAAGATATGCATAGCACTGTCAGCAGTATATCGGCAACATGGACAAATTGTCCTGTCCAAATATTTCACAATTCGACTTATTGTTGACTTGCCAGCGCTTGAGTAATTGCATACGATATATCCATCCAAGAATCACGTAATAAGCATGCACGCTGTAATATGGCATAAATTTGTTTGTAATTTCCGCACAGGCCAGAATGCAAAACCTGACAGGTTCGGTACTCATGAACCGGATGTGTTTATATGACAAATTATGGGAATACATACGGCATGACACATCCATATCACATGATGTAACACTTTACAGGGCATGTAATGTGCCAATCTGTTATGTCCTGGACTTTCCAATGTATAAGTTCCTTGTCAGTAGAGGGTCAATCGGAGTGGGTGGAGTGACACATTAGGGTGCCTGTAATATGTCAATTTGATATGCCCAGGCACAGGGGCCTGACAGTGTATAAGTTCCTTGTTAGTAGGGTTTCAGTAGGAGAAATGGAGTGACACATTAGAGGGCATGTAATATGTCAATTTGCCCAGTCCAGGACCCAGGAAGTGAAGATACACATTATAGTGGGTTTAATGTGCCAGTTTGTTATGTCCATAAAAAGTGCTTTCCGATGTATCAATTTCTTATCAGTAGGGTTTCAATAGGATAGGTGGAGCGACACATTATAGGGCCTGCAGTGTGTCAGTTTATTATGTCCAGGGGTTTTCCAGTGGAAAAGTTCCATTGCAATAGAGGTTCCATAGGAGGGAGTGGAGTGACACATTAGAGGGCCTGTAATGCGTCAATTTATACTACCCAGAGGCCTTCCAATATACAGATGCCCTACAGTGTATAAGTTCCTTGCCTTTAAGGTTTCAATAGGAATAATGACACATTAGAAGGCCTGTAATGTGTCAGTTTGTTTTCCCATGTGCATTCAAATGTATCTCTATACATATCAGATCTGATGTGATCACAGCATTAGCCAAGAAGGATATCACGTAGTTAATAGTCTTCACGATCTTAACAAAGGCGCAATTATCCGTATCGAAGGTATACATTCCCATGAAGAATCCCTATAGATCCCTTCACAGATCCCTTGTATGGAGCCCTCATAGACAGCCTTTATAGATTCGTATAGAAACTTTATAGATCCCCTATATAGAGAACTTATAGAAACCCCGTATAGATCAACAAATGGAGTTCTTTGTAGAAAACTTTACAAGATCCCTTACATGGAGCTTTCATAGACAACTGCTATATATTCCTTACCCTTTGTAGAAACCACATGGAAGCCCTGTATAGATCCCTCGTATGGAGCCCTTCTGGAAAACCCTTACAGATTGCTTATAGAAATCTTATAGATCCTCTATGTAGAGACCTTATATAAATCCATTATATAAAAAACTATAGATCCCTTACAGAGAGACTTTCTAGAAACCCATTATGGATCCCTCATATGGGGCCTTTATAGTAAGCCCGGTTACAAAGTATGTAGATGCGATGTGGTAAGCTATTCTTGATATAGTAGTTAAGATAAATCGATTGTATTATGGTTCGTACAATACCTATGAAATTACCTTTAAGAATAGAGGGAGCGGTATTAAAACCAATGAAACCGGCAACGAAGATGATGAAGATGATGAAGATGATGCAGATGATGAAGATGATGAAGATAAGATGATGAAGATGATGGAGATGATGAAGATGATGAGATGATGGAGATGATGAAGATGATGGAGATGATGGAGATGATGAAGATGATGGAGATGAAGAAGATGATGGGGGTGATGGATATGATGGAGATGGCAGGGGGCAGGGGGCAAATGGCAAAGGGGAGGGAAAGGTGAGGAGGTGGGGAAGGCAGGGATGGTAGGAGAGGGGGCAAGGGAACAGGGGGAGGCCTGAAATGTGTCATGCTTCTTTCTGTAAGGCGGAAACGATGACACATTTCCGGCCTGAAATGTGTCATGCTTCTTTCTGTAAGGCGGAAACGATGACAAATTTCCGGCCTGAAATGTGTCATGCTTCCTTCTGTAAGGCGGAAAAGATGACACATTTCCGGCCTGAAATGTGTCATGCTTCTTTCTGTAAGGCGGAAAAGATGACACATTTCCGGCCTGAAATGTGTCATGCTTCCTTCTGTAAGGCGGAAAAGATGACACATGTCCGGCCTGAAATGTGTCATGCTTCTTTCTGTACCTAGAGAGCCCGGATGATCGCTGGGCAAGCATTAAATGATCCTATTTACTGGATGCTTGCTGCGTAAGCATCCATGTTACAAGAAGCATCCGTCATATTGGATGATCCATGTGGACTATACAGATATACCGATCAAGACACGCATGGTATGGCACCACAATGCTTGAAAGCGGGCTAAAAGCGAGCCGGGTGAGCAAAAGCCGTGTGCACTCAGCTAGTGGCAAATGGGGGTCGGGCGTACAAACGCTTGCCATAATATGCAAAAGACACGAGGAAGTTATATGCCGGCATTAAGAAATTCACCGGCAACCAATTGTTGGCAAGCAAGAGTGGGGCAGGGATGGACAGCATGAAATTGCCTAGATTAGCGTGGAGTAGATCCCGCTGTTCACGCTTCCAGCTGGCGCACCTAGATTAGCGTGGACTATATCCCGCTGGTTCACGCTTCCAGCTGGCGCGCGCGCGCGCCAGGCGCGCGCACGCCTGCGCGCGCCGGGCGCGCGCAGGCTCTTTCACGCTCGCTCATAGGAGAAGCGTCAATGTTTAAGAAGGCAATCGAAGTCAGCCAACAGTTTGTCCATGAGTCTCCTTAAGGGGATCGCCTTATAGGTCAGTTACAATGCAACCGAGATGTGCATGCTCAGCTACCAATGTTGCTGTGCTCCTGGCTTCTATATTTCTCGAAGCATAAGTGGTGCAGTGGCTGTAGCTTGGGAAGCAACAGAGCAAACCCTGCAAAAAAAACATACGTGCAGAGCGCTTGAGCTGACAATGCAATTTCTTCAGGACTATATGATATTTCGTATATTCCTGAAGAAAGGTTGGTTGAATTTTTTCATAGACCACACTCGAGTATTTTGAGCCTTTCGAGCCAGTGGTAGGGTTCTGGTTTAAGGCTGTTTAAGGCTTAGGGGTTTAGGGTACGGACCTGAGGGTTTTAGAGTCAAGGGGTGTAGGGCTTGGGTCGAGCACACGAAAGCTTGAAGGTTTAGGAATTCGACTATTAGCCATAGCAGTCGGCCTTACTGTGGTGAGCCTTGCAAGTTGGAGGGTTGTGTTGAGATTGAGTGGTGTCTAGGCCTTATTAATGTTCTGGTCAGGGCATTTGGGCTTGTCGGGTTCAAGGCGGATCGAGGCTGGGTTCGGGGTTAGCTCCGTATTCCAAATCTAATTTAGAACTGTGTTTAAGGGCTCTAAACAGTGAGTGGTTTTTGAGTTTAGGGCCTAGCTTCCTCGAGTTCTGGCGCGCGGAACGGTTTAGACTAGAGTTCAGTGCTTTAGGCTGGGGTGGCCGGGTTTGGGTTTGTCAAGGATAGTGCCAAAGCTTCGTACTGGGACAGGGTGTGAAATAAGCTTCGACATCTACGGGAACGTCCGGGCGGTATGTGTAATTCGGGCTGATGCTTTTGGAAGTTGATAAATTGCACCAAGCTTCCAGCTAAAGATTGCCTCCTTGAATATGTGTCTCAAACTTTGGTCTAGTTCTCGGGCTTTTGGAGATCCCCATGCCTCGCTCAAACTCGTAGCGCTAACTGCTAACTTGCTGCTTCAGGGATCGCGCTGAAATTCCAAAGCCCATCAAATAACGAGTAGCGGTGGCTTGAAGTCTTTGGGATTACTTGTGGGATTTCCGTGTTCGGGTAGCAGCTTCCTTACTCGAATGTTTGGCAGTAGCTCCAGGGCCTCTAACTAACATCCCAAGAAACAACTCCGAGCTCGAAACCTTTCGCAACCCCTCGAGACGAGTTGCTCTAAGAGCTACCGGACATACCACTTGGAAACTTTCTTTACTATGTTACGAAGAAATCACAGGCTAATGTTCCACACCTAGTCGTGAGTTACAGTCACCCTCGTTTTTTGCTTCAGCACTCAGAAAACGTCTCCGAACTCCAACAGCGCTCTGTAGCGGTTGCACGTGACTTTATCCATAGTGAATGGATGGGTCGACGATGCAATGTTGCCGATCTGTTTCATCAAGTCCTCGTCTTGATAGCAGTGCTCCCACCTGCGCCCAGGGATTAACTGAAGCTATTTTCTCCTCGATTTGATTGTTAGAATTCTCCTATTGGTCTCGCAATACCCACTACGTTATGTTCAAAACAACCCCCCGGGCCCAAGACTTTCGGGCCTTTCGGGAAAACCCATTCGAAAATATGTGAAAATCTGAAGCCTTAACCCCATTTGCTATCCCAGCGAGCCTCGGGTTTCGGGAAGTTCGCTTGACGTACTGCAGCAGGTGAAGGAAGCTGTGGAACTTTGGAACGATTTTCCAGTTTTTTTTATGTTGCGGAATATTTCCCACGGCCATGCTTTGGTACAACAGAAGAAAAGCAATTCCCAAGTGCACGGCCTCATCCTTCACCTGTCTGTTCAAAAACGGACCACTTCGATCGAAGAACCATTGCGTCTTTGCCAGTGCATAGGACAACCTCAGTCGGTTCCCACTGTTGGGTACATTTTGGTCTTCATCGCAAAAGAAAGCATACACCCAGTATATCAGCATCTTCACGGTATAAGCTTTGTAGCATGAATGCAATTCCGGATAATATCCCCATTGCTCGCGCCCAAACCGCGTCAAGTTGAAACGGTGACCGCAACCAGCCACCTTGGTCTTGCGGCACCAGGCTTTGTAGTGTTTCCAAACACGGTTTTCCAGCTCGTGGCCCAAGTCTTGTAGCCTGATGCCGTCCCCGAGCTTTGCTTCGATATGCGCGCACACCAGCCCTGGCACCACCAAGCATGCCACACCCTGGTGCAAAACATGTAGAAGATCCTTCTGACATTGAGTTTGGTTTGAAAAATGCAACGAACAAAGACCAATATCGAAACAAAAACCCGGGAACATACAAACTAAACTTTCTTTGACATCACGCGATCCTACAAACCTCAGCGGCTCCTCCAGGTTTCTGTCCTTCGTCCAGCCGGGAACGTTCAACCAGCTCGAATGGAACTCCGGCGGGGTCATGAGAAGGTACTGCGCGTGCGTGAAACTGACATCCAAATAAGCTGCATCGGGCGAGAAATTGCGATAGTTGAAGGCGTTGTTTGACTTGCATGCAGGGCAATGTTCACAAATGTTGGTGTGGTTATAGCTCCGCTGCAATTTGTGTATCAACACACGTGCTTCCCAGTCTCCTTTGAAAGCGCTGAAGGCAAACTTGTAACCCCCAGCAAACTCAAGGTTGGCAAGCCCTTCTTCTCGAGAACCGATTGGCCAGGACTGGCCGTTTATGTCTTTGTCCGGATATTTCCCACTCTGAAGAACACGTTGTATCCAGCCCACCACCTCCCCGATCCGGTCGTGTGTCCGCGGTTTCACTAGAAGTGTTTCTCGCACAAGCAAAAGCAGGAGCTTGGAGGACAAGGAAGGGCCTTTCTTCAATGCGCAGGAATACGAGTATACCCAGCACTTCTGATGTTTGTAGACTCGCACACCATCGGCGTGCCAAAAAATTGGAAATGTCGTCGCAGGGTCCTTGAGGTCTAGAAGCTTGACGGATTCTTCATTACCCAGCCGAGTCCAATATTCGGTGTTCATTGCCTGGACCTTGTCAGGGTTGGGATCGTTAGATGCCCACTGAAAAAGCTTGTCGTTACGATGTAGCCAGTTCAGCACATCCCAGGGCCAGGTTATAGCAGTGTCACGAACCTCGTCCACCGCGGTCCCATCTTTCTCAGAAACACGCAAAGGAAGTCCCACCCAACCTTCCGGAATCTCAGCGATGGTTGAATACCACCTGCAAATTTTGTTCCCGAAGCATCCCGAAGGAACCCACACTGTTTTATTTATGATAGTCCTATTTGCAAAAAGACGACCGGAATCACACACAACAAACGACCCCAGAAACGTTTGGAAGCTTCGTTCTTCGTGTCCTTCGGAGAAGCCAGCCAGAACAGTAGCCAGAGGGCATGTGCACCCGTCTTGAAGAAGGTCTTTCGCTTGTCGAACTCCGGCAGAAGCCGCCAGCTTCTAGGTTTGCGAACGGTTTTAAACGGACGTGTTCGATTCCTATTAGGCTTGATAGAATTGTCAACCGAGGCACTCCGCTGCAAATTTCACGTAGAATTCGGTGAGCTGAATGGCTCGAAAAAGCCAACATAGCCCGACCTCAAGGGTAAGAACACCCGCAATCCTCATGCTAAAAAAACGTCTTTATGCCAAGTGCAAACAAACTTTATGTGCAGTTAAGCATCCACTGAGCTTCGGTGCACCCGTAGTTGAATCACAGAAAAAACCACCGTTGCCTTGATTTTGCCACTGCAGATACACATGGTCAACAGACCACAAAAAGGAAAATTTATGTGCCATCGAAGTTACGTAGCCGCGCTTCCTCTGAACATAGCCCCCGCGACCGAGAGCGAGATCTCGCCCTGCGAGGGTTGACGCAGCACAATGCAAGAATCTACGCTGCAGTGCCACGCACACTAGTGTATGCTCACATAAGCATCACAACACGAGACCTTTTTTGAAGCGGCACGGCACGAAGCAAACACCCGACGAAATGCTGTGAAAAGCCACCGTCACACCGCTGCCACACAACACTGATCTACAAGTTGCGCCAACCACAACAACAATCGCACATGTTGAATCAACTGCCCATCTAAATGCTAAGTGCGTTATATCCCATATATATAACAGGACATAGTCAGCAACTCTACAGTGTATGCCATGCAGCAGCACGCAGACGTCCTAAGGCCACAGCTTCTAGCTAGATGTTGCAGCACTGCGTCTTTGCGTGCATGCACGCGACAAACGCGAAAATACACTGTATCATGCAGCCCTTTGCATACATTCTAGGTATCCTATATACCTGAGGCTATCATTCCCGCGCAGTGATGCAAATCCGGTCGGCGTCACGTTCTACTCCTACCTAGCGTTTCTTATTCTTTGTCTTCTTGGAAGCCTCATCCCCATCAACAGGCTTGGCCTTTTCGGGATTTTTGCCTCCCTTTTCGCTTGCACGGATAAGGGCCTTTGCCAGCTCGATGCGCTCTTTTGCCTGCTCCTTGAGCTTGTTGATCTGGCACCAGGAACTACTGATGTAATATGGCTGGAGATATGAATGCTTCTCGCCTCCTCCGTGATTTCCTTGTAGTGCTTGTTCTTGTCCTTTTTGGCCGACGCCAGACTCTGCAGGTGCCCGGCCTGAACAAGAAATAAAACTTCATGTGTCACTGGAATAACAGATCATGTACTGCCAACACAAATACAAAACGGCCTTCTCAGAAAAGCACTTCTCCAGTGCCACGAGCTGTTCGATCAACGTTTGCGACAATTTCAACGGCTTCAGCTTGAAGGCGTAGTCCCTGAAGGCGTGTTCACAGAAGATAAACACATGTTTGCATGGGTCCTGACAAGCTTCTCTAACCGCCTGCAGCAGTTCTTGTCTTTGAGCACAGTGCCCAGCAAAATCTTAGCCTTCTCGAGCGGGGTATCCGGCACCACCTCAATGGGTTCGAACACAAGCAGAATTAAAATGGCTTTGGCTTGAGCTTGCTCTGGTGCCCCACCTTGTTGGCTTTGCTTGCGTCAGCAGTGCTCTTCTTCCCTGGCTTCGTTTTCTGTGCTGTGCTGCTGACTCCGCCCGTCATCTGCAAAGCTTTCGTCATCGTCTCCTGCGATATCCCACTGCCCAGAGCGAGCTGCTTGTTGGGGTCCAGCACACCTCCGGCCTTCCCGGGGGCATACGTAGTTTAATCAATAGCCAATAGATCATACATCATTGCAGAAAACAGTACCGGCCTGAGTGAAAGCCTGCAACATAGTCTCGTCTATCTCTCCCCGTATTTCCAACTTGGTAATCTTTTGAAGCTCGCGAATGTCATCGATGTTAAATTCGATGAATACAAAGTATAGAGAGTCCTCCGGTGACTCCGGATCGGCAATCGTCCCTATTGTTTCTGCACAAACAAGAAAACGGAAGATTACTGCACCTACACTAGACATGCAAGCACCGCTTTCACAAACCAGAGGATGAAAGGACTGCCTAGCCACGACCTCCCGCTCACGGAATAAGATGTTCATAGTAAGGGAGCAACCACACTAGCAGACACAAACACCCCGCCGCCCCCCCACACACACACACACACAAGAGTTGAATAACCTAGACATGAACCCAAAGCTCGCACACACACACACATACCATGTCACAGCGGCTCGTCAGCACTTGCACTTGCTCATGCACACACACACACACACTCTCTCTCTCTCTCTCTCTTTCTCTCTCTCTCTTTCTCTCTCTCTCTCTCTCTCTCTCTCTCTCTCTCTCTCTCTCTCTCTCTCTCTCTCTCTCTCTCTCTCTCTCTCTCTCTCTCTCTCTCTCTCTCTCTCTCTCTCTCTCTCTTTCTCTCGCTACCTCTCCACCCTCGTGCCAATATATAGTCAGGCTTCAAGCCTTGCGATATCTTCCGTGCCATAATTTTTTCTCCTTTCACATCGCCGTGAGTATCTCTGATCCATTTGTCGCCTCGGAAGCCATAGCGGATTCTCGAACATTGCGCCTCCCGCAGCTGCTGTTCATGCCTCAGCATAATCTCTGTGGGATCTCCGCCGAGCTGTACGTAATCCGCAAACAACCGTTTGCGACCATCCTCGTCCGTGATTCGACCCGCCAAGGCTGCAGGGAACCGCTTCTTATTCTGAATCCAGCGGTTGTATCTCAGCCACTCTGTGTGATGGGTGTTGCTGTTGTATTTGTCTAGTTTTGCCTCAGCCTGGCGCAAAGCTTTCCGAACCGGGCCCGCCTTGCTGTCCTTGTCCTTTGTGGCTTTGCTCTTGCTGCTCTTCTTAACCCTGGAGCCCTGTGAAACTTCTCTCTCCGGGCTGCTTGGCTTCTGCTTCTTCGGGGCCTTTGACCGGGTATCGGAACCCTGTGAAACTTCTCTATTCGGGCTGCTTCGCTTCTGCTTTTTCTCCTTGGGATCCTTTTTTTCCTCCTCCCTGCCTCGCTTCTCCTTGCCTTTGTCCTTTCGGCTTTCCTTGTTCTTCTTCTCATCAACCTGCTTTGCCTTCTTAAATGCTTTCTTCACGGGCGGCGTCACCGGCGCCGGCTCTTCGTCACTGCTGCCGGCATCGGCTGAGTCTGCTTGGCATTCCCCTTCTGAGCTGAGCTCCTCTGGCTCAGAGCCTTCCTGGGGCTCCTCGTCTGAACCCGCAGGAGAGTCGTCTTGACCCTCCTCGTCCACTTCCTCGGCGGAGGCCTCCTCACTGCCTTCACTGCCGCTGTTGCCGGCATCTTCGTTTCCGCTCGCTTCGGATTCGGCCGACTCGTTTTCATCAGCACTCGAGTGCTCCTCCTCATCTTCGCTTGCCTCTGCTCCCTGTGCAAGAACTCACGCAAATGGAACATGAATATGCAATGCACACCCACACGTACATACATACGTACATACTTGCACAAGCACATGATCTTGCATTCAAATCTCAAGCCTCCGAAGAACTTTCCGGAGCCTCCTCACTCTGACCACACATTTCGTCGAGGATGTCTTTGGCTTTATCCAAAGACATCCGGGGTGAGTGCACGGGCTCGGGATCCTTGCGGGGTCGGGTCGTCCTGGGTGGGGTAGTCATAACAACCTCAGGCTTGTCGTCGAAGGATACACGGGCGGGGCTCTCAGCAGGGGCTTCTTCGTCACTCTTGCTCCTCTTCTTCTTCAACACAGACTTCTTTGGGGGCTCTGCACTCGCTGCCGCCTTTCACCTGGCGTCCTGTCGGGATTTTTCCTTCTTCAGCTTCTGGGCCGTGACTTTCTTGACACGGGGAGGGGTCTTCGCTGCCGCTGCTGCCGATGTCTTCGTCATGCACCGGCGCTTGGGTTTCATACAGCACACAAAAGCTAGCACACGTAGCTAGGCCTCAGATCAAAAATGCTTCGCAACAGGATACATTGGATCATGCAGCCGTACGTATACTGCTTGCATGCATCAGCACAATCAAACTGGAAACTGAAACCAGCCTCCAGATTTATTGCTTCGGCGTACAGCATCGCGATCGCGTCAATTAAAGCCAGCTAGCCACCGGCCATGCAGGTTCAGGCCGTACATATCTGAATTCGATATTATAGCTGCAGTTTATATATATATATACACACATATATATATATACATATATATATAAATATATTAAACTGTATAGAGCTTAGGCAGTAGCTGCTGGAAGCAATTCAGGAAATTTAAGTAGAATGCTAACTTAGGTAGTTTACCAGAATTTAGATCATTTATTGTAATGTAGATCATTTGTCGGCATGTAGATCATTTATCGGAATTTAGATAATGTATTGGTTTATTGGACTATACTTATTGGAATATCAGTAATATGTATTGGCTTATTGGATTACAGAGAAAGTAGAGGGAATTTATTGGAATGTAGGGGAAGTAGTTCAAAATTCTTGAAGATTTATTGGCCTATCGGAGTTTATTGGTTTCACGTCGTTCGTGTTTTGAGTTTGGCTCTAGCCGAACGCGTTTTTTTTTGGTTTTTTTTTAAAAAAAAACAAGCCGATCCCGACACAACCCTCACACCCGATAAACCGATAAGATTTATTGGAATTTATCGGGAATTTATTGGATTCTTATTGGTTTATCGGGTTGTCTGGTTCTGGACAAAAACCTGGCAAAACACACCCAAAATTGCAGGACCAGCGAAAAAAGCAGCCACGAATGGACACCAACCCCACTAGACACCCACGAGAAGCATACAAACACGACGAGACACACAGAAACACCCCGATAAACCGAGAAACGGCAGGAGAACCTGCGAGTTTATTGGAATTTGGGTACTTGAATGGAATCTAGGTAGTTTATTGGAATTTAGATAATTTATCGGAATTTAGATAATTTATTGGGTTGTAAGGATTATAGGTAGAATCTAGCTAAATTATTGGTTTATTGGATTAAAGCACATGATTGGAGCTTTGAATAGTTTTATTGGAATCTAAATAAATTATTGGAGATTGTTGGTTTTCAAAAAAGAATTCCATATAGATACCTAGCTAGATATGTATATATGGTGGCAGCCGCAAAGTTGGAAGATGCGCACCCAAAATTCCAGCACCCCACAACTGGAATAAAGCACATCTTCCAACTTTGGATCCTTCCAAGTTTGCAACCTTCCAACTTTTGGTAAACCGCATGAACCG